TGAAACCTAACGTTATAAACATTAATCAATAATAATTTTTAAGGTATATATTTATTAATGTCATAAGGTATCAATTTATATTTGCCTAATTGATAATGAATACATCGAACAACAAACCAAATTAATCCTATAGACGGCAGTTGGTCCACTGTTGGGTACCTATTCAAAATATATTTGGAAAAATGTGGACATGGCAAAAATCACGTTCACCATGCGACATCGATAGTTGACAATGCCTCTTGCTACGCGATCTGGGTTTTATATTAATTTACTTATTTTTAATAATAAATAAAATACAAGGTTTATATCTACTATAATAAGTGATAAAACTTTTCATTTTTGTACTCGTATAAAAGGGTATACGTGTTTGATCAGTTTAATTTTATGTAACGAGTAACCCATATCTAAATGGTACTTATTACCTCGTGATTGCATATTATAAAATATATATATACGTCGCGAATATTATATTATAACTATTTATAGATGCGGGCCGCAGATAGAGGCGTCCTGGTTTCACGATCAAAGAAGTTAATCTATATTAATTGCAATCACCCTTAAGCTAGAATGCTAATTTGGTTTTCGAATTTAAATTTATCTGATTTGGCAAGGACTAATAAATCCTAATGGTAAATGGCAACTATGGCCTATATAACTATAAACAGCAATACGGACATCAAGTATATAATACTCGTGTCATTCCGGAGAATTAAGATGTCAAGCTCCCGTAACCTCTAAAAAATATGTTATAAACGAACATTGCAATCTAAATTCCCTAAACGACAAAAATACCCGGTTCATTCTTACGGTAGAAGCAATGAAGCTATATAAATGTGTAGTAAAGTAAAAACCATAGAATTAATGGGTGTTTTAAAAATTTACCCAACTTCCAGGAATCACAGTCTACCTGGAAATTGTATTAAGTTCTAAATACTGGTCGTTCTATTAGAAAATTGTTTTTAGACCTTTATCATCATCATTAGGATCATGCCTATCTAATAATATCCAGCTCAGAATCCTGCTTATCACCGCCTTTAGTGTTTGGGACCTGCAATCTTTATAGTTTTCTTATATTTTTAAACAATATTATATTAAAAGTAGACACAATACATATGGAAATAATTATTAATACTTATAAATCACTTGGATATTCATATTATCCACTAACTAAAATATAATAATTAATATAGTGTGCCGCAATATTCTGCCTCCATATGGATGCTTTACCTACGGTTTGAAACAGCCATTCTATTCAAATTTCTAAAGAATATAGACTTTACATGTTGAATACAAAGTTGATTATTGCTCGTTGTTACACAAGAAACTCCAACAAACACGATCACTATCGTAAAAATAACTCTGCCTTCCAATACTGATCTTTCAACCAATGAATGATGGTTGATTTTTGTGTGAACACGACAACTGTTAAATTCCACGTCTGCCGTTGTGAAACAATCCTTATCGTGCGATGAGCTTACATTCTGACAGTATAAAAAATTAAAGCCCGTCAAAACCCTCGGCAACATTTGTTCCCTTGCTTTTTGTGCGAGTGTCCCGGGGCCCGGTCGTACCCTACGCTTTCTTCTTTTAGGGCTGCCTGGCGGCTGTTATAACCCTGCTTTCAAACGGCTTCCCATTATAGTTATATTTTGTTGAATTTGAATTCACTACGATCGGTTGTACTGGTTCGTTATCGTATTTGCGTTATGCAGGGCCCTTATCTGTTTTGTACGTACAATCTATTGTCGTACAGTACGGTTGAAATAAAAACAAGGTCTGTACATATAAACGAATAGTTTTACAACTCATTTACATTGTACTGTACTATGAATATCTATCTGTTGTACCGTAAATGTACCTATATACGTTATTTATGTGTTACTTTGGAGCATAAATAATGGAATGAAAAGAAGAAGATATTATATTTTTTGTACATCGATTGATTGTTACATCTACACGGGACATCTTGATTAATATTTTGATAACCATGTCCCAAATTACTTATTTTCTATGTATACTTAACGCATACCTACTAAAATTACGAATTAATTGTATTGTCGAGATAAATATTGGAGGGATTTACAATATATCCTATTTTATTTAGAATAGTGTGTGTCAACTAATGTTTGTCCCAATGTGTCACTAGTTAACAGATTTTATATCTATAAAATCTAGATGTATTTGATATCATATGATCGGAATCGTAATGTATCATTGTCGAGAAACATATGCTAGATGTGGTCACCGATGAGGAAGAAATGTCGGCAAAACCGTGATTTGTTAACTCTGATATCTTAACATCTCTACGTCCCAGACGGGCGCCACTTTGGAAGTATATTTCTCTTTATTACTTATACATAATAGTATAAATGCGATAGTATGTCTGTTTAGCTGTCTGTTCACTACCTTTTCGCGGGTAAACGACTGAATGTATTATATTTTATTCAAATGTGACATGCAGATACATTTTCTCAGGAACTGGAACTTAGGCTATCTTTTATTCCAAAAACAGAGAACGTAAAGCTAAAAAAAATTTTTTTTTAATATATGAAATAAGTGACACACTGTTTCAATAAATTCAATTCCAAATTCAAATTACAAGATGCCTACGACATTGAAAACAAAAAAGTTTAGTAAAGAGGTTATATATAGTATAACTTTTTACTCTACTTACAAAACATTAATTTCCCTTTATATAATATAAAAATATGTGAGTTAAAATATGGCAATGAAATTATTGTATCGAATAAATACTACGCCTACTATATGTTTATGTCACAACATAAAACAAAAAACAGCAACCCGCGAGCTATGTTTATGGTGTTGCAAGTGTTCATGGACGGAGGTTTACCGTTGGAATGAGGTGAACCATAGTATGCTTACCTTGTTACGTTTGTCACTCTCGTGGTATAAAAAGGTAAAGAATACCATAGCGAATTCGTTCTGAGGTACTGTAATTATCTAAATAATACACATATTAAAAGGAAAACAATTATTATAAATAGTTATAATAATAAGTGTGCAAAACTATATAAAATAAGAAAGTATAATAAAGGATACTTATTACTGAATTAAGATAAAAAAAGTAGCTTTAGTGAAAGAATTAAAAACATATATGCTGTGTTTCCTGACAATACTTCTACTTAATAGTGCACATAATGCAATTGTTGTAGTTTTAATTTATATGTACATAGTAAAAAAGAAAATAGAAAAAAAGACTAGGAATACTGAGATATTTATATAGGAACGATTGAGTACAAAAAAAATGTATAAAAACAGAACTATAAATTTAAAATGGAAAAGACATTTCTGATTAGCAAGTACAGTAGTAATATATATAAATACCTACATAGTGATGACAATAAGCGTCATAACATGACGCTACAGTATAATATATAGTCCCTAACTAGTAATCACGTTTGATAGGTCACGGTTGCTTGCAAATCACACACGGAACATGTACCTAGTTCTCGTCACAATCCGCTATATAAAGTATATCGCTATGTAAGTATATCCGCTATATAAAAAAATATATATATGTATAAATGAAAAACATTTACAAAAGACATATTATAAAGACATCAATTATCTTAATTGTGTAACCGAACCCAAAACGATAAATTGTTAGAATTTTCGTCTATAAGTTCTTTGACGGAATATGTTCGCGGCTATGCCAGAAACGGCCAAACTTTTCATTATTAGTACAATACGTGCTAACTTAAACTTTAGTACTTGTTTTACTCCAATCGCTTTACAAACTAAAAAATATATACATACCTGGTCTACAAAAATGATGGTAACATGAGAGAGTCTCAGTTCAGCTATACCATTATCTCAAAAGTCACTATGTGGACACTTGTATAAATTACCCGAACACGCCACGATATCATTGCAATTACCGTCACGACATAACAGCGAAGAACAATGTATGTAAAAAGTAATAAAATTTATTTTTTTAAACAAATGAAAGACACAAAAACTGTGTGTAGTATAGTTTAGTGTACTTTTTTTTATGTTGCATATTATTGTTTTAATATGAAAAATCACAAAGTGTCATGTCACTGAGCCATTAACTTGACATTGTTTGATGATTACCACGGATTGTATGAAGAGTTACATGATGACGTGATAGCCATCGTGTTATTCGTTTGACGATTATAAGTTACTAACGTGGTGGACCATCAGCTTTTGACATTCCAATCACCTAAAAACAATTCGCTAATAGTGTACTAATGGTAAGCATTTTGATGCAAGTTTTTTAGTGTGTGTCAAGCTAACAGCTTAAAAAATGGTGTTATGATTCGCCATAAAACACGAACTAATGAAGTAACTCATAATAAAAGATTTTGTGTAAGTTATTTTGTGTGATCCATTCGCTTTTCAAAAGGATGTCGATGATCTGGATGTGATTATGTTTCGTTTTAATTAATTTGATCAGGGTTGAATTCATGGAATTGAGGACAATATTAAGCACATTAAATTAATAATAATCTAATAATGAGTGACGAAGTTTATGACTAACTACACTTATTCTGAGGAAATAATATTAATAAATATGCATATTAATTGAGGCTGTTAAGCTCAGCTGGTTAGAACGCCCAATTTAAAATATAATGAGGTGGTCGGGAGTTCAAATCTCTCATAAGCTGCTTAATTAATATTTCTTTTTAACCTTAATATATATATATATTTACAATAAATAGATCAACTCATACATAATTTCTTCTTACCTGGAATGCACTCAGAACTGGCGGCAGTTTTAGACATATAATAAGAGTCTTTAAAAGATCTACATAAATAAAGATATTTTGTTTTGATTTGATTTGAATTAGGTAAGTGTGAGTAACTCAAAACGTAAATTTTAGACGAAAAACCTTATATTGGATAGAATATCATAGCAATAAGAATAACAATATACAATAGTCGAATTGATAATTTATTCTTTTCTCAAGTTAGTTGAGAGGATACGCTAATACATAGGGTTATATTTAGAAACTTACCCGATTTGCAACCGGCTTTACTTCCGTGTTATTAGGATGATGATCATAACTGTGGAGACAAATCCTGTAACAATGAGTTAAATAGTATTAATATACCGTGACACTGAGAATCCATTTTATATTAACACTATATAGCAGTTTCCCGCGACTTCGTCTCCTTTTAAAGATAAAAGCAGCATATGTCCATCCTAGTGCTATAATTCTATCTTTACGTCAAATTTCATTAAGATCGGTTTAGTAGTTGTGAAAAGGTAAAAATAATATCTAATTTATATTATTAGTGTGAATAATATCATTATTATCAATGATATCCTCAGGAAATGCAGTGAATAAGATATGTAACCACATAGGACTCTCCTAATATCGTGATGTCCATATTGTTGTTCATGTAAGTACCTACATAAAAATATAAGCTACGGTTGGTTGACACTTTTCATTAAGTTGTTTGTTTCTTTGTTTATGTAACAGAATCGTAAAGCTACTTAAAAGCATGAACTAAATTTGGAACATATTGCGATGGAAATATAAACATTGTGGTAACATCAAATGAAACAATAATGGAAATGGTTGGCAGCTTAGGAACCATTAACAGTCATTCGCGACGCTTAAAGTACTAAAGTGTTTATTCTACAAAGTAATTAATACAATGACATTACTTCTTTAGGCTCTTAATGAATGTTTTTTTGTCATTATTAAATTTAATTACTATTTTGTATGAATAATGTCTAAACGGATTTTGGAGACTTTTGGAATGGAATATGTGAACTTTTTTTTTTATTTTATGGCCTTAATGGTTTAATATACTCATACTGTCTCGCCATCAGATGGCCGTAGATACGATTCCTGCACAATGTTAACCTTTATATTCGTTTTAGTGATTTCAACTTCATTATGTTGCTGTCAGTTGTTTAATAGTCAGTTTGAGATGAGGATGGTGATGGGTTATATATATAAATGATATCTATAGGTATTTACTTATTTCATTTGTGTTACTCCTTACCACAAAACAACCAAATTACCAGTAATTATAGTATTTTCATACTACTAGTACCAAATACATATTAAGAAATCTAGACTGAGTCATGTTGGCTCGTTAGCTCAGCTGGTAAGAGCGCCCATTTAATTTTAATAGAGGTGGTCGGGGGTTCAAATCCCTCACGAGCTGGTGAATTAGTTTTTCCTTTGTTTTTTTCCGATTCTAATTAACAATGATCAATACACACTAGATAAAGTACAAATACATTATAATAAAAAAATTATATAAGTGTGGTCAAGTTGGATAAATTTATATTTCTGTTTCTTTGTTTTTACGAGTGAGTCCAACATTTAAGTATGATTGTTTCTATTAATTATTAACCGACTTATAAATTAAAGATGAGTGTAAACCTTTCCTTTTCACATGTTTTTTTTCATAGTCTTTATAATTCAGTTATATTAAGCTACTAATTAAACCCTGCGACTGTGCTTACGGTACTTACATAGTAAATAATAAACATAGTAATTGCATGTACGTAAAAATAAGACAAATATAACTGAAAATGTAAGTACCTAAAATATAAGACTCATCTCGAGTAATGTACCTTATTTTTACCTATAAGAACTAATACTATGTACATTTTATTGGAAGAACAATGTAATACAAAACTCTACTAGAAATTGTTTTACGTAAAATAATGTATTTGATGAATTATTGATTACCAATTTACAATATTAAAGCAGGTAACAGTTTTAGGTGCAAAATGTTTGAGTTACGATAAGTAATAAAAAATGAAGTCACCATGACGATGTTGTCATTGATGATGTTTAAACGATAACTTCAAAGCTGAATCGATTTTGATGATTATTTTCGTAATCGACATATTCTATTGCTCTTATAGTTAGGTACTTTTGCTTGGTTTGGTAGACTTTTATATGCCTGTTTAAATTTATAATAATAATAATGATGACGTCATGTACCTAAGTGCAAAATATGTAAGTTCCTACATATTTTTTTGCACTTATGTTTCGTAGAGTTCTTACTTATTCTATGTAATCGGAGGGACGACTACTATAACGACTTCAATGAAATTTCTATACTAGACAGATTTAGGATCGACAATCTGCGCAACCATATAAATTCAACAATTAATCGCAATTTGTTGCATTTTAATGTTTGAATGAATTACCTACCTACACAACGTACACATATGGTATACATCTACTTGACAATAGTTACAAAAGTGGACCTCGGTCCATCACATTTAGTCTAAAGTAAATAATTAATCATAAATACATATTTATGATTAATTTACTCATTACCCAATATAAATTGTTCAATCTATTCATAATCATATTGGTATTTATTTAAAATGGATTGTTATTTTTTCTGCATGACAGAGTAGTCCTTAGGTACATACTCCAGAATAGACTATTGAATCATTCAACTGATGGTCTGATTCTGACGAATGAAATTAATAGCTTCATTATTTAATTATTACAAATATCAAATAATAAGCAGATAGCTGAGTACATGTATGTAACAAATACGAAAATTAAAGAGGGAGCAGAGCACATGGCGATCTATCAAAACAACAAAGCCGATTGGTTTGGTGACGTTCCACCCCGGTGATATGTACGTCCTACTACCTAAATGCCTTATGTACACCGCTAGTTACTACTTCATGACTACTCCGAGCTCAGTGTGTACTGCAATGCAACGGAAAATATGCGTGTTTACCAAAGTCGTTTCGGTAGAACGGTGTCGTGTGTTGCGTCACGTTAAGGAAATTGATATTACTCCGAGGTCGCCGTGACTAACATGAAAGTGATTATTGTGTTCATATTGTGAATTTCTCTTATCATACTAACATTCAAATGTTACATTGTGATTTAGTAAAAGAAATGGGATTTATTTTTTCTATCCTGTTATTCCCAGTGGGTGGATGCCAGACAAATGTCCGACGCCACGAATCAAGGCACGTCCGATATAACCTTGTGATGTTGAGTAAGTACATTTTTTGTTTTCTGTACACTTAATTAGTAAAAATAAGCAAATAAATCTATATAAAATACAAAATAAGACATATTACAATGAATATAAAGCCTATTTAATTGAATTATAACCAAAAATCCGGGAGAAAATAACACATTTCAAATATTATTATTGAACGTCACTGCGAGGTTTAGTCAACAAGATGGCGTCGAGTGGGGAGAGGGCGCCCAGTTGGCCAGGTGCTGCCGCCGCGTCGAGTTCGGCGCTATAGCTAAACTAAATACGCAGTGTTGTACATTTAGAACGTTCACAATGGCTACCGCGAAAGACACGTCTACTTTCTTTCTGGAGGCAGATGCAAAAGAATTCGACAGTGTATTGAAGTTATATCCACAAGCGCTTAAACTTAAAGCTGAACAGAAAACAAAGAAACCAGAAGAGCTTGTAAAATTGGACAATTGGTAAGTACGAACGTCTTTGAAAGGAGAAAATGCGGCCGTGGCGTGTCAATGAACTTGTATTGTGTGTGTATCCGTGCAAACTGATTTGATAGCTACCTCCCTCGCGGACTGCATCTCTAGTCCGCGGACTGCTCATTAAAATCACTGCGTCACGTGGGATCGATGTCAAATTGACACGATCGTTTTTCCTGAAGCCAGTGTGGGGAAAAATATCGCATCGCTCAGGCGTTATAAAATGGTGGCTGTCCTTAATGATACGACTCGTTTAAATGCATTTATGTGCATGTTTAACTGTAAATGGCGGTTAATTCCGACGATTTCTTAAATAAACATAATACTAAATGACACACATGATGTGTTTTTGTATTTGTAGCCACATAGTTTACAATACAATGCTTTGTTAAGTGCCACTACGGTTCACATCCGTTCAAAATGGTGACTTGCTCTTTAGATTTTGCTTACAATCTAAATAATATTTCAAAATTCAGAACATGTAAAAATAAAATTTTATCTGTATTCACCATAGTATCCGTTGTAAAATATTTTTTATTATTAATTTTATTATTTTTATTAGTTACTAAATGAGTCACTAAGTTGGAGGTTATGTCAGCATTTATAACATTTTTTTTAACTAATTGTCTGTCTATAGTACCGTATTTAATGTTATGTGTTTGTGAGAATATTATTATTTTAAGATTTATTGAAAAAAACAGAATACTTAAATTATTATATTTTATAAACACATGTATATGAAATAGAATAATTTAATTTATGATGACCTACTTTCATCAGAGCTCTTGTACTTTTTTGCTTTCTTAAATTTTATCAACTCTTTGTGGATAAAAGCGTTTCTTAATATTTTCAAATATAAATAATATAATTTACATAATTAATTTAAAAATATACTTTATATTTTAATATGCAGTAATAATAAAATATGTTAGCGAAATGTAAAATAAAGAATAGAACAAAATATAAACCTACATGATACACAATATAAATTATATATAAGAAAAATAAAATTACATATTATTTACATAATCATTACTTTGGAATAAAACATTCGTGCACCCAACTATGAAAAGAACATAAGTATAGGTGGTTTGAAGACTTACTTATTGTAGCTAGGTAATTACGATTATTTTTAAAGGGAAATATATTATGTTTTATCTACGCTAATAATAATATTTAAAGGGGAAAGTTTTGATTGTTTGTAATGCATAACTAAAAAAACTACTTGACGGATTTTAAAATACTTTTAAAGTCCGTCAAGTGCCTTTAGTATTATAAAGTAGTTATCCGAGTACAATGTTAACTAGTGATTAAAAAAAATAGAATTATCATGATATAGTAATAACATAACCAACACTTCGAAAGTATAAATCTTTATATATTACTTATATAGTAATAACTCTAAGGTCTATGTACCTACTTAGATACATTTCGTAGCTTAATACATTTTATTTTATAATTCCATAGAAACTATTTGTATTCTATATAGTTTTCTTACATTAATAAATGATACTACTTACTATTAATATATAATGGGTAGGTATAATTAAAAAAGCAGAAGCTGGCAAACACATGTTGTTTCAATATAACAAAATAAGCAATGAACATACTCAGCAAGCGCCTGTTACGGTAGTTAAAAATTCCCTCCTCTATCTTTGGCGTCCTCAAAATATTAAAAATTCTGTTAAGATATTTGATAAACATTTTCTTAATTATGTTATTGTTAAAGTTAAATATTAGACAAATAAATACTTTTACTTTTAAGATATAATTGAAGATGTCAATTTCAGCGTGAATTATAAAAGGATTAAGCGACAAGTATTTTTATTTTTGACCATTTAAAAGTTCATTCAAGAACTAATTAATGTATCTTAATATTTAACTTTATATGGGGATTGCCTTTGCATTTGTAGTAAAATGAAATCATTAAAAATGAAATCAATCTGTTGTTAGAATAGAACACACCAGCAGCAATTAAAAAACATATTAGTCATTTGCCAACGGAAAAAATATTTTTATCGACGAAATGATTTTCTCCCGTCCTTTTCAAGTTTACATTACATTAATATGTTTAGTTAGTTACCAACAGTTTGTACTTGATAACTTTATTAGGTACGCTTAACTATGTTATAACTATGATATTTTGCTCCTATTAACTACTTCCGTTTGTGTAAGTTATTATTCTTCATGTAATATTATTATTTTCCCCTTTTGCATATAACTTTATAATCATACAAATGGTATGTAACTAACCGTGTCTGTGGACAATGTAAAGGATCGACAATAAAACATTTTCTCTGTGTATTTATGCACGCAAATTTCAGAAAAGCCTTAATTAATTTGAAAATGGTATTTGCTTCATTTCATCGGTTCATAAATTTATACCATATATTTATGCTAAATATCGCAAGTAGTCGCGGGCACAGCTAGTTAATCACATTTAGCTGCTTGAGTTACGTTTTTCGTTGGGTCCTTCAAGTCCACGTCTAAATTTAACGTATATCGTTGTGTCCCGTTAATTGGTCCGTTATTAAATGAATTATATGGATGAAATAAATTTAAATAAATAGGTGAGCATATAAGGAAAAATGTACTGTTTTCAGGTACTTAGTATTTTAATTAGCTGTGTTAAATATAGATGTATCCTTTCCGATATAACAATGCACTAGAACCCTAAAATACGTATTCATGTTACTTATTGAATAGAGATTATTTACTTACGATTCAAATACTGCATTAGATTAAACTACATTATGCAGAGTTAATAAAACTCATCACTCACTCGTTAAAAAGACGTGGATCGAAATTCAGCCGTAATTTTTATGTCATTATGTAGCTACATGACATATTCGTCAATTATACTAATTTTGTTGGTTGTTGTAATCGGTCGGGAACCCTTTACTGCATTGAGTATTTATTATAAGTAGCTTTCTTTGTAAATCCTTTAAATTTGCTGCCTTAAACGAATGTTAACTACAATTAATTTATTAATTTTGTATTGATTAATTATATTATGCATATTATCCTTAAGACAGTATAAATCTAGTTATCAACATATAATAATGCGAGCATCAAGTTAGTACTCACTTAAAACCTCGAATAGCAATCTTATTTCGTTATATATAGTAAATCAAGTAATCCAAAAGGAAAGACTAATTTTGTAACAGTAAGAACTCCATACAGCAGGTGCATACAAACAATACGAAAAACTAAACAACAATAAAAAAAGAACTACTATTATTTAAAAAACTTGGAGACATACACAAAACAATTTAAAAATAAGTAGTAGCTTATAATTATATACACAATAGAAGAGAATAAGAAAAAACCATTGCAAAATTACAACTAAACAACAATATTTAAAATTTTAAATCGTATGTGCCAATATTCGTGGAACCCCGGCCAAAACGGATTACGTTGTTTTCGTACGTAAACCACTACGTAATTTTGCTGTATTTGTAGTAGAACTTAGTAGGTATCAAAGCTGTGAGAACGATCGAAATCACGTTAGCATTTTATCTTATCAATACCACAGATTAAATAATAGTTCAATACGATCGAGTTCAGCCATTCCAGTTATATAAGATCGATAAAAATATTCGAATAAACTTAAATATACTAGAGTACAACGAGAATAATTGATGTATACACCAATTTAAGATTATTATAAATGTAAAAGAGATTTAGGCTTACATTTCAAATTACAAGTTTACTTAGAAATCAGGCTATACAACTACATATTAAGTTTGCTTTTAAATTTGAGGAATTAATAACGACATATTTTTTAAATATAGGTACTACAACTGCTATTACTACATCCGCTATATATCTACGTAGAAAAAAAAGACTTTATAAATTTAACACATAAATACTTTGTGTAGATGTTATTTGTAGGAATCTTACCGATTCCTACAAATAACATCTACACAAAACAATATGTGGGGAAAATCATTAGAATGATCTCACATCTTATAAATGTGGTTGTTGATATACTTCGTTTATGCATGGGTGGGCTACCCATGCATAAACGAAGTATATCCATTGCAAACCACACAATCTACCCTTCGGAAATAAAAACCACAGCTCCTAAGAACGCTTCATTTCTATAAAGTACAATATACCTATATCCATAGGTCGTAGTGCTACAAGTCTAAACACGTAGTAATAGTCTAACAAATACTATACAAGACTTGCAGTATATTTTTAATTTCGTTGCAATACATTTAATTATGTTCAACCAATTATCGAAACAAGGAGTTTTCTTTTAATATATGATAATTAAACTGTGATAACAGCTGGGCTAATGGTAAAGAAAAGAAGTTATCCTCAAAACTAATCTTCTCTAATATTGATTACCTCCCCCCCCCCCCCCATCTAACGGTGGTAAACAGTTCTTGATTATATTGTTTACAGGTACCAGAATGAACTACCAAAGAAGATTAAGTCCCGCGGCAAAGATGCCCACATGATACACGAAGAGTTGGTGCAACTTATGAAATGGAAACAAGCGGTAAGTTAAGTTTATAACTTTAACTTTTAATTAATAATATATGGTTTCAATGGTTTCAAAGTCGAATAAAAATTAACAACTTCTAATTTTCCTTTCCTTTACTACGGTTGGTTTTACGTTTCTTATCTCCCCTAATGACATGAACAGTACCACACTACGTAATGCTTGGTCTCCGTATATATTACCGAGGCTAGAGTTGCCTCCATACCCAGTCATTTCCCTTCAAACCGGAACACAGCTTGCAAGCAAGCTGCGCGCGCAGCCGTACAAGTTTATAAAGTCACAAGCAATAATTTGTAAACACTAGTATTTTATTACAGTGACATTATTGATAACATCAAACAGTATGACATATTGTCAATAAATTGTTATTATGTGTGTATAAGGTTTGTTAATTAACCATTTATAAATTTACTGCAACTTCATTCGCATCTGTACCCAAGTCATATTAAACGTATACACGTTTGTAAGCACGCAAGTATATTTCATGAAACTCAGCTTCAATTTGGAAAATGAATTAATTCTGATGTAGGTGTTAATTTAGAAATTCAATTAATTAGCATCTAGTTGTCAATTTAGACGAATAGTTCGTTTTGATATTTCAAAGTCACACAATTACTATGATAATGCCTACATCAGTATAACAACCCTTCCAATCGTCTCTCAACTGTGCACTGATCTCTTATTTGACAAGGATTCATACTACTAACACAACTCTATCTTTCGAGCTTGATATTAATATTATTTTAAAAAAATATTTTCCTGAACATATGTATTTACTTTGATGCCTCTGTGTTCCATATTCGTTATTATACCCCTTTTGCCTCAAACATTCTGGAAATAAAAGAAATGGGGACAATAATCCTACTCCGTCATATAGTATGATTGTATAGCACTTATTCAGTATTATTTCAATACAGCGACAGACATACGTCGAGTAAATATTTATCAGTTGTATGATTATAATATGAACTAATAAAAAGACATTCTGATATCAGAGACACTTCAGTGTTGTTATTACAGACATAGTTTTATCAGTAGTACCATAACAAATAGTTCAGCTTATTCGTCTAATAATTTTTGTCTTAAGGTACGGGAAACATTTGTCTCTAGTAATGAGCCTATCCTATAACTTCTAGCCACAGTGCTCACTATCAACTGTTTCATAGTTTAGAGCCACTTATGATGATAATGTGACTATCTGTCCATCTATCCGTTCGTCTGTCACAGCTCATTTTTCAGAAACTACTGTCTGCTGTCGATTGTAATCAGAAATTGTCATAAGTACTAACGCCTGAATCAATATTTTTTTAAAGACAGAATGGATATTAATGAAATTTTATAATCGAGTAGATAACGCCCAACTTGAAAATAACTATAGCTAGGAAGTTTAACAAACTATAAGAACACATATTAGCCAAAGAGTTCCAAGTTCCAAGTAACATTTCCCACAACTGTAAGTAAGTTTTGCATATCTTGTTTCAGAGAGGAAGATTTTATCCACAATTATCATATCTTATAAAAGTAAATACACCAAGAGCCGTGATGCAAGAGACAAAGAAAGCTTTCCGCAAATTGCCTAACATTGAATCAGCCATGACTGCACTGAGTAATTTGAAGGGAGTCGGTACAGCAACGGCATCAGCGTTATTAGCGGCTGCCAGTCCCGACATAGCACCGTTTATGGCTGACGAGTGCTTACAAGCGATCCCAGAGATGGAGGGGAGCGATTTTACTGCCAAGGAATACCTCAATTTTGTAAACCACATTAAGAGTGTCTGTGATAGATTAAATCTGGTAAGTATCTAGACGATTCAAAACATTAATCAAACTGACTGTACCTCCGCTTTATGTTGAGTGGTAACAGTTGCTTGAATATGTAAAGTACTAAAGTGTTATTTCTCATTATTAGATGGTACTAGATATTACCATTTTAGAAACAAAATAGATCAACGCAGGCATTGTCAGTAGTAAAATAAATTTAGCGAAGACGTGTCTAGACGGGACACATAACAACTAATATTTTTCGGAATATCGACACAATCTCATTTCACATTTACGTCATCGTGAATAAGCTTAGAATATACAATAGAATTGGTTTGAAATACATCCAGGTTGAACGGCTATAAACTAATAATGCCTTTGAATTAACAAAGAAATTCATTTTAAAAGTCTTTTTAATAAAATATTACGAATTATATTAAAATAGCGCACAAAATGAGGCAAACATCAAGACACAAATAGATAACCATAAACACTTAGGTCTTAGTAAAACAATAATGAAGTAGACTTAGTATTCACAGAAAAAAGTACCTGTTATACTAAATAGGACATTAAGAAAAATAATCAAAGTTTTTACTATTCGTTGATCTATGATTGTTTATTTATTAACCTCTGTGTCCATGTTTATGTTAAAATTATTATTATAATTTATTTATAGGAACAAAATGGCTGTGGCAAAAAATGGTCACCACACATGGTGGAATTGGCGTTATGGACACATAACATAGTATCAGATTTACAGCCAGAGCTTCTCGGAAAACAGCCAAGTCTGACTGCACCTGCAAACGGTGGCTCGCCGCTACCCAGTGACGAAAGTAACCTTGAACCACCATCCACAAATGGAAACGGTAAGTTTATAACAAAATAAACATATATTTATATCACGTTTTTACTTTGTTTTTATGTATATTTGTTACAGTGCCTAAAATTGGTCTATAGAACTCAAATGAACACTTCTAGAAATAATTACTATTTGTTAAGATACTAAATACCACATCATTCAGAATATCAGAACAGCTTTCTAAGATACAACAGTTAAGCTATGCCAAGGTCTTATTATTTATCTGTAGGTCTTTTACATTATAAAATATTGTATGACAAAATTAACGATTTGTATCATGTACGTATTTTTTTATTTATTTAAAGTAATACTTGCAGCTTCCTTTGTGGCGACATCCTTTTGGCGTATTTTTTTTTCTTTTCAATTATCCTGTACATGTATTCCTTTGTTTTTCCCATGTACGTCATTAATAATTTCTTAAAAAGATAACTTCATTGCGTTAAATTATTAAAACTATTTGAAGGTATTTTTATAATTAAGTATGTAGATATAGAATATTGTATACTTTATCAGAATCAATAGAGCAAATTATAAGATACAGTTTGGCCCCTCCACTGTATGGATATAAAGACCTTTCTTAAATAAATAGTTTTGAACCATGTTTTTATAATAATAATAATATTTACAAGTTGACGGTATTTTTCTTTTTAAAGAAACTTTAATTCGACTCTGATTCAACTCAGATGAACGATGAACCAAAAATACTATAATAGCTTAACACACACTCAATAAAAATTTCTTTTATAAAATATAGGTAGGAAATATAACATATGAAAAAAGTGCAGTGAGTCATCATGGAGCACTGAATCAGTCAACAGCGTACTTGTTAACGCATGATTCTCTCCCAAAGTAGATCTGATGAATTTAATCTGCCTGCATATGATTACATTAGAATTCAACATAGCAGAGGAGGCTATTGTTATTGGTGTTACCTAATCATCAAATAGTAAATTTAAAATACACATACTTTAATAAAGTCGAAATTCAATAGAATAGATAACATCTATTTGAAGTTATCTGTCCTTTTATGACCTTATTTACACCCTTACACACGAAATCGTTATCTCCCTTTCCCTTTTTTGTATCATGGGTTTCATTGCTAATGCGTTTTTATTTTTTAAGTAATCATGTATTTTATTTAAGTATGGAAAAAATGCTTAGACACTGCCTGAGTATCAGCAGTACAGCAATTTTATAAATACATACTTAATTGAAAAAAATTGTCATGTCTGTCGGTCTGCGACTGGTGTATACGTATTTCCAATGACCTAGACAGCTATACGTAGACAATTTCGTAAAACAATATAACAATGGAACCACAAGTCAGCACACAGAAGGCTATTTAGACGGCGGTAGTATTGTACTAGGCAGCATTGTATTACACACCTATACTCATATTTATTATATTCCTTTTCTATCGCTTTCAAAAACAGACTCTTAGTTCAAATATATATTTTGTGCTTTTGTCCATTTTTATCTTCGCCAATAACATCAATTTTGTCTAAACGTAAATCAGTTTTATGTCAGTTGTTTACTCATTAGTTCCGCATTCACCCAGCATATAAAAAAGGAACTACCCTTCTTATTTTTATACTAGCTGTTCCCGCGACTTCGTTCGCGTAGAATATATTTTTATACCTTGTTTTTTTTCTAAAATAAAAGTAGTCTAAGTTACTCCTTATTTCATCAGCTACCTGCTAAAAAAAGTCCCGTCAAAATCGTTCCAGCCATTTCAAAGATTAGCCAGAACAACAGACCGACAGACAAAAATTATAAAAAAAAATATTTTGGTATACATATATGTACCGTATATATTCATATGTATTAAATACATACATGTAGTAAAAAACGGTTATTTCAATATTACAAACAGACACTAGAATTTTATTTATTAATCATTATACTTATAAATATTATAGATTACTAACAACTGGCGTCACTTGATATTAAATTTGTTAACGATGTTTACCATGACCCATTCCGAAAATTTTAAAGGGGTAATAAAATTGATGCCGCCACCATACACAATACGTTTTCAGTATATTATGATATTCAGTACTACATCAAAAATACATAATATTAAATTTAAATATCAAAAATATATGTTTATGATATTTTATAAGATTTTCTATAAAAACGATTGTTCCGACTTAGCAAGTTGTAGAGAAAAATATTTATAATCTATGGCCTATTGTTATCTGCAATATTGTATCATTCAAATGATGTCAGTTTTTTTTTTCAAATACCGCGACTCCGTATCCGTGCCCGTGACCGAGACATATTGGTTGACCAGACCTAAAAAACATAATATCATATACTACGTACCTATTGTACATGGTCATGAAAATTGATTCCTTAAGCTGTCAAAGAAACTCTCATCAAATGTACGACATTAGTAAAGATGTTTAATCATTGCAGGCAAATTAGGAGCAGATTCAGTAAATGAGGATACGACGACGTCATGTACAGAAGACTCGATGGACGCGAAAGCCGTGTCGCCCGCAACTCCCGCCTCACCCTCTGACAACTCGGACTCCGCCTTCAGTACGCCGCGCGCCAAACGGTAATTTTTATACGTCTTTAATAGCAATAAGCAGACATGACGCTGATAATAACAATTTTATTTATTTCAAACAGACTAAAACTGACAGTTTTGTAATTATGAATGCATGACCATTTAAATTACAAACCTTGTAACTCGACTTGTAACTGCAATTTTAAAATAGTACTTACATTATCGCGAACAATTTCACTCTTTAACACTACACGTTACTAGTTAAGCTTGTGATATATAGTTATAGTATTATTATGATTAATGTGCATTTTTATTTTAAGTAACTTAAATTTAAATATTCTTCATTTCGCTACAGACAATTAGAGGAGGCGAGTTCTGCAGAGGAAAACTCACTGGGCGACTCAACGGACGCGCCAGTGCCTGTCGCAAAAAAACTTCGAGAAGCTACCCACTGACATTCGCGCACTCCCACCAAACATCCCTCGTGCGCCTATAAATAGCTTTTTAGACTAAAATATTGTACCTAGGTAATTTATTTTCAATTCCGTTTAATTTTAACTTAGTATTAAGTTTTAAGTACCGGACGATTTTGTAAGTTTTATAGGGTATTAATTAATAATTTTGGATGCGTTGAATGGACTTACCGGGCGCGCTCCTCGAGAGTATATGATTGTACAATATTTCAATGTGAGTGTATCGGCGGAGTGGCCCGCGATAGGGCCTAGTTTTAGGTTTCGTTTGTAATAATTTTAACAGTTTACTCTTAGAACATCCAAGTTGCAAAATAATACATGAAATACATAACGTCCATACCTTATAATAATAAAGTATTACAAATTTCATGTCTCATAATGCACATTTTTTTTACAATATAATTTTTGATAACTTGTATTAAAATTAGATTTAATTCGCTTGGAGAAATGAGAAATAGAACTATGTAGTATAATAAAAATACACTATTTTTCTAGAAATGGTAAGAACCGCAAAAGCGCCACTTCTACACCATCCTCGCTTCTCCTAGACATTCAATGATACAAAAAAAATGTACAATATGAAACATGGATGTTGCATTCTAACTTTAATATCCGTAGACTTTTACTTTGCTATTGTAAGATATGGAGATGTTGAACGTCATGTGATATATTATAAGTTGAATGTTTTGAGACTAAACAATTTTTAACGTTTGAACGTTCGCATCCCGCGTGACATTCCAATAATTTGTAACAAGTAAATTTGGGCGGCGAGGGAGGCTCAGAGTCGCCGCAGTGAGATCCGGACCAGATGCCTTGACGAGGCCGCACAGGCCGTCAACGTCACACTCACCCATTGCCTTATGACACAGTCTGCCCGCAGAGTTTATATGCAACAAGATAATACAAAGGTCGTGTTACCCGGGCGCCGGGCACACGGGCCCACATGTAGTTTTATTGAACAAATATAAGATATTAATTTTATAATGTAGCATTTTTCATTTATATATATAACTGTCCCTTTTCCTCGATAATTATTTATTAATGCAATGAGTGTACAAACTTATTGGTAATAAGAGTTGATGGATTAAAAATATATTTATAAAACATATCTATTTATTTATATCACTTATTACATAAAATTAGTGTGTCGTTTCCACATCTTGTTGTAAATGTGTATATAAAGTAGCGACCCTGGTACCGGCGGCCATTCGTCCGGCGAAGTCGGGCCTTCTTGGCGGTCGCGGGGGTCCAAGCAGGGCGTCTAGGACGTTTCTGGGGGCCCAGACATCCCCTGTAGCGCTGGAAGATCCATTACCCGCTCCCACTGGCGACAGCGGAGAGTCAGTAGTAGCTCGTATCACAGTAGCACGAGATTCACCTGTAATGTAAACTCACAATACTGTATATCTATATGCAGCATATATTACAGTCAAATCAATAGTCATAGTACTTTAACATATCGAGATAACATTTTTATATAAATATACATGATATCTTTAAAGAGGTAGAATTTATAAAAAGTAATTTAAATGGGTACTTCAGTCTTTCAATGTATTTAAGTATTTATATCTGATGTCTAGTACCCATAACAGAAGCACTGTTTAGCTTGGGACTAGATGCTTCGTGTGAATGGTCCTAAGGTCCTAGGTTTAATATTATAATTATTATTCTAAATAAAAAAAACAGCCCTACATACAATTATAATTTTAAACTTACCTTAAAAAAACGAATGCTTAGTTCTGAATACATTTAAATGTCTATGCAAAAGAAATAATCTACGAATATTAGCTTTTTTGTTAAGAGGTCACTGAATTTGCTGACTTGAGGCTTTCTAAAAGAAAATCTATATATTTTATCGATTGTTTAAGACCTGTTTCTTTGAAAAATAAATCAATAAACTTCATATGCGTCTTCCATTCATGAACTTACTATAAAATTTAACACAGTTAAGATTGTTTGAAATATTGGAGTAAAAGTAATTCTAATACACGTTGGAGAACTCTTCTTATACCCAATAATTTCAATATATTTGTTAAAAACGTGTTGAGTATTGGATATCTTCCATGTTTCATTTTAAAGTATAAATATAGATAATACAGTCAACCATGATGTCTATAATAGAAATTACAACATCATTATTGTGCAAATGGATTCTTATATGGAAATATTGTTTTCGAAATGTAGAAACAAAGTCCATACGGACATACGCCAAACTGACGAAACAGTTGCTTTGCGTTCACACATTGACGTACATATAAAAGATTCCATTATCGTATCTAAAATCTGTCCCCAATTGTAAAAAAAAAATTTGGTTATCGTAGAACAAAACATGTGTGGAGTCGTCTATATATTTTTATATAGTCTACCATACTGATTGTAACTCTGTAGAAATTCAATTAAGGAAATGTCACCATTATCATAAAGTGACTGTAAGTTAAAATTGCAAATATAGTAACTTTAATAAGAACAAAATTAGTATCTATGACTAGAAATATGTGCACAGGATCATTTGGGTAACAATCAGTAGTATTTTATTGATTAAATTTACTTCAATAATAATAGTAGTTCTGTATCTATCCCTTCAATTGGAAATGAATTATAAATTGGTGGATGTTTATTTTAACAGGCTACACTTTAGAAATGCAATACACTATAGACAACAATACAACGCTTCATAAAATATAATAACATAGAGTATTCAAAATTCATATCCTTGTTTTCTGATCTTCACGGCTTGAATCCCCGGACAATATAACCATTTCTATTTATGAGTACGTATTTTTTTAAGTACTAAATCAGTTGGGTATATCTATAAATCGCCTATAATATAATAACATATTATTAACCTATATTACAATCGCTGCTTCGTTTGAAACTATAGTCTGTTCTTTTATCCCTGATAAAAAATATTACGAGTCTTAAATATGTGCCACTATCGGAAATTAATTATTAATTTAACACGTAATAACTAAAAAAATAATAAAGTATAGATATTGATAAATATAGAGTTGTATCAAAGCTACTTTTTCTTACTTGAAATATATTCTACTAAAAGCTAACTGCTTCTTTTCTTAAATAGATAATGTCTATATGGTATCATATTTTATAAAACATACACTTCTTTAAAATATTTAACTGTCCGAAAGAAAAAATATTTGGTTTGTAGTTTAATATCGATATTTACGAACAACACATAAATGTACTTCTGTGTTGTTTAATTCAAATACAGTAAAGGAAACACTAAGTAAATTTAAAAATTTGTTGCGGAAACAACAGAAAAGTTAACCATCTAAAATAAAAATACGATTACGATACAAATCAGTATTGAAGGTACTGCACTATTCGAAAATTTGCCATTGTATCCTGTCCATTTTATTTCCCGGAAAAAAAACAGACTACAGCTGGCACTTTGTAAAATATACACATTAAACTATTGAAAGTCAATTTAAAATTAAAATGTGACACTTACTATCAGCGTTAGGATTGTTATGTGCGCGGCAGTCAAGCAACACCCGTAACAAGGCGTGATGAGCCGGCGACGCTGAGTACGCTCGAACCAGCGCCTCTAGTTCGCCCCACACTTGCCGCCATTGCTCCTCACGACGTGTGCTTGACTTGCCCCTGCACAATTAGATTTTATTATACTACGACACTGGTAAGCTACCAATACAACGGCCCCTCTGATGTGAAACGGTTACCGTAGCATATTAGGGACAATGATTTTAGAATAAAAAGTTATCCATCATATTTAAAATTAGCGTTCTTGTTGCTAATTAACAGTTATGTCTAACGGGCAACTGTGATGAAAATCTGATCAAATTATATTTACTGCTGTATATCCACTGGATATATCCATCATAGCATATGGACGCCTAAACGTCCAGGGATGGTATGATTGGAATGGCATACTAACCGTCAGTTAGTATGCCATTCCAGTCATACCATCCCTTCTAAAGAATCTGATAGTGGCAACCTTCGTCTGTATATGGCACATAAACAGCACCACGGTCAATATGACGTCTCTGTGGTAGCCCTATTGCGTTACCTTTCTGGAGTTAAGACTGTTATACATCCATATCTGTAATTACACTGGTATCTCTCATACAACCGTAACACAACCATTAAAAAAAGGTGTTTGGCTGCTAAAATAGATTAATTAGAGGTACCGATGCTGAGCTGAGTAAATTAATTCCAAACGTCGATTATCCAGCGGATTAATTTAAAAAACTATTAATTATTAAACTTTCGCGTTCACTGTATTACTATAGTTAAACGGGTTATTCGTCAGACAATCTAATAACAGTAGTTGAACAAACTGACGGCACTTTTCAACATTGACATTCGCTTTTACTCACGTGCTCGTGACCATTGCTAGTGAAACCTAATCGAAACGTGGAGAGAGGTAAATACCTATATTGACCATAAGAAAACAATTGTTCGGTGTCTGCAGCTACTACAGCTGACAGCTATATAAACTTAGAAGAGAAGAGGTATATATTATAACACCCAGATTTTTATTCAACTATGTAAATCAGTTTCAAAGACTTTGTAACATCATACCTGATATTGGACGGCAGTTGTGTAGCAGGAAACTCATGGCGCGACTCCATGCCGAGGAGCGACAACAGCACATTCCGACAGGTGTCTACCTCTTCATCAGTCAGGGACTCTTGTACGACTAATCTAGTTAATGGTTCCATGACCTAACAAAATTATAAAGTGTTACACAGTTGTTTATTTATTACTACTTATTTAATTCTCAGAAATCTTAAAATCTCATCAAAAGTAAATTAGAAAAATATATTTCGACTTATATAATTCAAATAAGAATGTTAAACTGACTTCTTTGCTTTTATCTTTTCTACTAATAATATCACCTTCACGATTGTAATCCCTATTTACCTATGTGACGTAAAATTGTAGGTTTGTCCGTTCCCACCACTGTCCATCAACAGCTTCCTGTTCCTAAGCTCGCCAAATTGTACAATTTTTAAAATGCAATAAAAGAATAAATGATATGAAAAAATGAATCCACTATGTCGTAGACAGTAGCATTATCTACTATCCCTCGGTATATTTGAATCCGAAATTTGCATCCAGCAAAGCCTACTGCCGTATCTACTGCCGGATTAGTTTATATTATTATTACTGTTTACATACCCAGAAAGTTAATATATATACTAGCACACAAAGATTTTTGGGTATCGCATCAGCTCGATTTGAATTTCTTCCGGTTTAAGTAAAGTACAGACCACGACGCTCTTGAATAATATAATAAGGAATAATCACTTGCCATCATGTGTGTCGCAGCTTGTTTGCTCCCCATGCTATAAAAAATATATAATGTAGACTCACTGATCCCAAATTAAATATGAGTGTAGACGATATTGTGAGTGGCCAGTAGGTTGTGTGGCGTTGAAGACGAGCCCTGGCTCGTCCATTCGCGCCGCTGCCTCGCAATGGATTCAATTTATTCTGTTGCATTAAAGCACCGAATTCTTTTATCCTGAAAATAATTGTCCGTTCCGTAAATAATCATCCGCTTTTTCATGTCTTTTAGGTCTGAATTATTCGCTATTCATTTATTAATTTATTCTTAACAGTGAAATATTGTGTCTAATTTAGGATTAATTTAGTTACATACAATATTAATAAGAACCTAGGACAATTCACGCTGCCTCATCTAGTCCCATTCAGCAGAGCTTGTGTTATGGGTACTGGACACAAATACTTAAATGCTTTTCTTTAATAGATACATAGAAACATCGTCTATGTGGGTAATTCACTTAAATAAACCCATTTTTATTACATATATACATATGTAATAAAGGTTTTTTTTAATAATATTAGGATTACTTATGACAACCTCGTGATTCTATTAAAGTTCACGGTACCTGTAGTCTGTAATACGTCCTCCGGTACCCTCCGAGAGCGCGGGTGGGTCATCGTAGGGAGTGCGACCGCCCAATGCGCCGATCCACAACTCGCCCCCTTGCGCCGCCAAAACGTGGGAGGCTGACCGCCCGCCGCCTTTCCTGATTTAATTCTTCATTTTTACATATTATACTATGTTTTTACAACACATTGAGTAGCGAATTTATGAAATTTAAGAATTTTTTTTACATAAGTAATTAAAATACAATATATTTCATAACAAATAAATTAATCGCCGATGATGAGTTACACACATTCTCTAAATATTTCACAGTTACGTGAAGGACTTATTAATTATGATGCTGTAGAGCCCCACAGTGCTTGCTAGCAATTTACTATGTTAGGTTGACTTCCATCTGCTCCACCCTGAAAACCATCATTGTTAATTTCTGTTAAATTCACCATGTTGCCCTAAATGACCTAACTACATGCTAATTCTATATTCCTCATGAGTGTTCATGTATATAGACGGCGGTTACTGTCTACCATCAGATAGGCAATAAGATTTTTCCCTTTATAATTTCATAAAAAAATAGAATTTATTTTATAATTTTTCTTGACTACGGATGTAAATATTAATGTAACCAAATAATAAATTGTGTTATATACATATACCTAAACAATTCTTAATAATTCTTATAACAATCTTATTAACGTTATTAAGATTGTAATGGACGGAAAATCCATATTTATATAGCACAGTGGACGGTACCTGGGCACTTCAAGAGTGACAGAACGTCCATTCAGCAGGAAGTTGACGAGGCAGGCCGAAGGACGGCTGGCGACGTCCGCTGGCGTCACTCGCCACAATGGGCCGCTGCAGCTACTCGCACCGCCCTCGGCACCTCGCGGTGTCCACCAACGAAGCACCACCTTACAATATAAACATTATATAGACCTCTAACTGCCGAAATCTCAATATCAAACCCAATTCTTCACTATCAGCCGGTAATCTATGCTGTCCATAGAGTTATAGCTTATTGAAAAACGAAAATACTTAAAATAATATTTGACTAATTCCTCATACAACAAATTCCTTCACCAAGAAAATTGTCTTATATGTACATACAATAAATACATATAATAAGTAAAAGAAAACATTAGTTATATATACACATTCAATATCTCTTTCAGTTTCCCTTACTTTTACTACCGCAGATATATAAATAAACAGTATAAAAAAATGGTGCTCAAACACACACACACGGTGTTGTTCCTTGGACATAAATATTACATACATATCTTGTTTGAAAAACTTACCGATTCTAAAGCTTCAGCAGCCGTTTGTGCTGCTCTGAGACCAGCGTGAGCTTCCGCTGAGTGTATAATTTCCACATCATAGTTAGCACTAGAACTTGCATTTTGTTCTTCCTGAAAAAGTCATATTATTATGTTTACACAATGAAGCAATTGTACAGATTATATACATATATCCATTATCATGCATAAAAATATAACAATCTTCTGTTGGGATCCAGATAGAGGTGCAACAGAAAGCTAAATTATACATATATGCATACAAAATAGCTATTAAAATTGTATACCTTCATAGGAATGCCAGTCACTGTGGTTGTGGCGAGCCTGTAGTGCGGCAGCACTAACCGACCGAGCAGGTTAGCTAATTGGCTCGCCCGAGAGACTATCACCTCACATCCCATTTGTCCTCCACCCATCTGTACATTATATTCTACTGTATCGTGTTTCTAAACGAATTCGATATTTGTAGGGTTCAACAATATTTATCGAACATTTTAAACAGAACAAAACCCGGAACGGCGTATAGAGATGTTGAAGGAGGCGTAATTTATTTGCAATTTTTGGAAGAAAATCTAATGCGTAAATTAGTTTAATGAAATATCTATTTTCTGCATTGACAAAGTTCGAATCGAGCATGAAAATTTATATATCATCAGGGATGGCTAAATATAAGTAAGATTGGGAAATCCTGTCTTAACAGTTCTTATCATTTCATGGTAATTCCATATTATATCTCTGAAGTTAAATCATAAATACTAAAAGTGGGACTATTCAAATACTATATACAAAAGAAAACAAATATAATTAATATTTAAAATTAGTTTCAAATCCAATACTACATTACCTCAGTAAGTTGTTGCTGGCTAACTCTAGTTTCTGCTTTTTCTGGTGTTACATTTATAATCACGAGATGACAGTAGTGTACAATTTGAGGTCTAAAAACCGAAACATAATCTGTTTTCAATATTACAAAGAGTAAAATTACACTAAATCACAAATATTTAACTCTGCTGTAATAGTATCATTAGTAAAAGTAAACAATTAAACACATTTTTCAATATTTGTTTGAAGTATGTAGTGCCACATATGTGGACTCTTAAAATAAATATTTTAATATCGAAACAACTTATCGTAACAAATTTGATTTACCTTTCTACTTCATTTGGCTTTTTTTATATATATAATGCCTTTTTAATATTTTTGCTTTTTGAATAAAAATAATCTACAGTAAATTACAGGATAAAATGCATGCAAAGATATAATGATTCTTATCCTGTATTTTGACTGCTTCACTGCTGATTTTTAGATGTCACTAATTGAGTAGATGTTAAATATGTTATGAGGTTTAATACATACTGTGTAGAAGTTCCAGAATCGGCACTAGTTGTATTTTGCGCTTTCTTATTTTGTTGTATTAATGTGTTTAAAGCTATTTCTGCTAGGCTCCTAATGGAGTCATCATCTCTTGCACTTGTGATACATATAATGCGACCTCTGGAAAAATAAAAACATTATTATAAAGATTTTTATTTATTTATTTTAATAGTTTAAGTTATAATTTTTATGAGCTTTAAATACATTTTTGACATATTTAATTTGCATAAGTAAACTTTCAAACTATGAAAGTTATGACAATGAGAATAAACAGGCTGGAGTTTGTGATCCAAATGCCAGTAGCTCTTCTGCTAATTGTTAGGTCATAGTAACTAATATAAAAATATAAAGCTGTTACCCAATGAATTCTTGCAGGATGTAGCAGATCTTTTCTATAAACATATCCAGACTCTCCTTAATAGACAATAAATATTTCACAATAGAACACAACTATTACCTATTTTGATAATGCCGTTCAGTGGGAGGTCGTGAAGTCTGTGTAGGTGAAGGCTCACCAAGAGCCTCTATTGCAGCACATAGTCCAACCACATCACCCCCAGCCCCACGACGGACTGGTCCAACTAAACAAAGCCCGTTCAGTATCTACAACAACAGAAAATGCACAAGTTCAGTAATTTGTAATCATCAAAATACTATTGAGAGATAGATATACTGTTATTATATGTTAGATATACTGATATAATATAATTTCTATACTTGCTTTATTTCATATTTCCAAGGACAATTGAAAGACATAAAAATATTTTAATTTAAAATTTAACACTTACTATGCAAAGATTCTGCAATTATATTATACAACTATTTTGTTATCTACATAAATAGTTTCACATGTCTATTGTAATAATAGCATATAACTATATTTTTGGATAATATTACAAGATGTCATTAGATTCTGCTGTGTTTGTAAATTTATTTAATAAATCTATTGGGATTTGATTTGTAACTGTAACATTTTTATTGCAATTTTTATAGAAATTTAAAAAGCAGGTAAGTGCATAGTTATTTTAAATCAAACTAATATTGGGCATTATCATTTAATTAAACAGTTAATACTCACATGTGTTAAGTTTTGTTGGGAAACTGCCCATGTATTTAATATATGTGCCGCTGAATCACTAACAACAAAACGGACCTGAAAAATATTACACAAAACATTTAACACTTTTGAACAGTCAAATAATATTTTTTTTATTCAACAACTCACTTGGTATGCATGCATATGTTTCACAGGAAACTACTTTGTTGCTAGTTTAAATAAATATTGCTCAGCTTTATATATTTAAGATTTTGAGTACAAATAGAAGTGAGTAGTAATAGTATTTTGTATACAACTGGTCAAATAGAGTAACAAAATAAATCAGATCTAGTTATCAGAGCAGACCAGTTCCTACTAGCAGCACCTGTTCACCTATTGTACATAGGTGAGCCAGAGCCACAGCATTCAACTGTATTTTTTTAAGGGAACCCAAAGACTTTCCTCTCTCCCACCACGACATAAACGGTCTGCATATTTCAGTGAGAATGACTGACCACGTCAGAACTAATATTAATAATCAGACTTAAAAAAAACAAATAAACATCGCAATAATGAATCGCCAATAGATGATAACAATATTAACTCCGGCAGCGGACGAGGAAATAACAGTGCATTTTTGGTCAGTCAAAATTGAAATGCCGGTAAACAAAAGCTATAATAATGTAAGATCACTAACCAATTTTCCTTCAGGGAATAAATCCCACACTATCCGACAATATTCAACGGCAGCTTCTACGCTACAAGTCCATAATGATTTATAGATAGAAGGTAAGGGAACGTAACCTGGACCCCTGCTCTTGGAATTATCAAAATCTATAGGGAAATCAGATGATATACCAAAATAGGGTGTATGATCCAAAACGAATATTGTTTTGTGATTTGTGGGAAACATTCTTTATGTGATAGAATTACATAGGCAATTCAATTAATTTTAGATAAATATTTATTATCATTAAAATAATAATAAAATTGCAGCGATTACAGAGTAATGAAAATAGTAAAATCAAAACATTTTTGACGTTAAATGACGTATGACCTTTGCGTCAAATTTGACATAATAGTGTTCTCCGTATCGTGTGGAATATTTAAAAAAAAATTACCGAGTATATTTTGTAATTAATTATTTTTTAAAATTTTAAACATTAAATTCTAAAAACAATATTAGTCAATATTGTTCTATAAATAGTACCAAAACATATATACATGGGTTTTTTTAAATATACAAACTACAAAGATGCAAGTAGGGTCTAACGTAAAAGTTAAATAACCCTACTTCTAAAATTCCTATTTCATTAAGACACGTGACCATTTCACATGAGATCAGAAGCTAAAATAGTTTTACAGACTATTTAGAAAATTACGTTTATGATTTATTCCCCGATACCACAACGTTCACTAACTACTAACGTCATCGAAAAAAAGCTATAATGAGTATCAATTGCAGTTTTTACTAAAATATTACATGATATAAATATCAGGGTTTAATTTGTAAATATGTATAACATTTACCGCATGACACATTTATTAAATACAACTGTAAGTCTATCTTTTCGACTTATAAAGGCTATGCTACATTTACTGTACAAATTTGTTTCGATAAATTAGACGATTATGACAAAGCACAATTTATATAATCGAGACATAATAGTGATATTTCACATCGAGGTACATCACTAACAGAGTGAGTGAATGTTGAAAAATGAATTCTGGGTTTGTTTCATTTAGACACACTTATGCGTATTTTCTAAGAAAATAAATTTCATTATAGTTATTACTATAGAAATATTAGGAAAAGGTACAACAAATCGGCGTTGTTATTAGAAAATTATTGAAGTGGAATTAACTGTTACAAATGGTGCATTCGTATACCAAACCGGGCCACAGCCACACTAGAAATTAAATTATCATCCACCATTTTGTTTATTTTCGAGAGAATAACTCTCTACCCGGATACGTTAGCGAATTTTTGTACTATTACTCCGCAACAAAGTGTATATGTAAATCAGGCAGTGATTTAAAGATTAAGGAATGTGCTATTAGCGTACCTATCATCCTCGGTTCCTTGTGTTGAAATTTGCAGACATCGGCCGATCCGCTAGTAAACACTCATTGAAAATTAATACTTTATCCGCCAAGAAATCTAGAAACCCGGGTGCGCAGGGTGTCAGAGTCGATGAGAAAAGTTCGTTGAAATTTATTCAACGAATTTTTCGCAAGTCTAAAGGGAGCAATCCCCTGGCGCTAAAGGTAGGTGAAGTGCAATAATGGGAACGTTGTGCAACCGCGCGGTTAGTTAAGGTTGTAAAGTGTGACATTTGTTCAGGAAATATCAAAAAGTTGCGGGCGAGAGTCCCCCGTGGCGCGCCCGGCTAACATGAACCACACGCCTGCACCAGACAGGCAACAGCAAGACTCCAATGTGAACCAGGTCGAGGAGATGGAAACCCAGGATGGTTAGTGTTATCTAAGCTTTTTATTAGTATAAATATTAGTTCATGAGTTGTGCTTTGTGTTGTTTTGCAAATAACATGATTTGACATTGAATTCACAATGAATTTGAGGGATGCTAAATCTGTCAATGTTATGATATAATGTTTAATAAGAAAGTAAATCTTTTAGACTTATTCAGTGTTTTACTTTGAATATTTTTTAATTATATCTACCTATTGGTCAATTATTTGATAATTATTTTCTGTTAACCTCAAAATAAAGTGTTTGCATCTATCTCTTGGTAAGACACTCTATCCCATGACTATGAGTGTTATTAATATTGATAGACTAGAGACAATAGAAATATTATATTGTATGTTTGCATTTAATTTAAATTGTAAACTGAAATGAATAAGTATCCTTTGTTTAAAAAGTGCAAGTCGCTTTTCATTGAAATTCTAAATATAGCTTCATTGTTTGAATACTGTTTTGGAAATATTATTTACTATCAAAAATTGTTAAGGACATAATTACTAATTAATTAATATGTTGTCTGGATATTTATTAAACTGTGAATTCCTAAATAATATCATTCTTGTAGGGTTTAGTTTAATTGTGTATAGTTTGTACAGCTGTAAAGCAAATAAATAAAGAGAACATTTGTATTGAATAACATTGTAGTATAATCACAATTGAATGTAATAAAAATTTATTGACTTCACTCTAATCAATCACTTTTAATCTGGATAGCTGTTAAGTAATTTGGACACTGTAAATGATATAAGTTGATTCGCTGTAGATAATTATGTTATATTGCCAGTAAGAAAAATAGAATTATGATGCTAAAAATTGTATGTATTTTCTTGATACAATGGAATTAAAATTATGCTCTACAACTATAGGCTAACTGATAGGGTTGTACCTTATATCTAGAATAATGAAGATGTTTTCAGATGCTGAAAAGGTATATATATATATATATGATGTTAGGCCTACTGATTTTAGAAAACTCCTTATAGATGCAATTTCACAAAATTCATACTCTGTGTAATATTAGTATGAAGTAGATAGTTGATTGTTAGTTACTTTAATGTTTTTAATTCCTATTAACACTGTTCACAAAAAAATTAGCATAGTAGTTATTTTCAATGGATTAGATTAAGCAGCTGCCTTTTTGTGGTTAATCAATATATCACCTTTTCATATAAAGGTTCAGTTCTACATATTGAAAAGAAAGATTTCAAATTATATACATTTAATAGAAGGACCTTAGTGATCTAGCGGTTTAGCATACCACCTTACTTCCAATAGCTGCGGGTATGATCTCGTATAGTACAAATGTTTGTATTTATATGATTATTTGTATTGGTCTGTTACTTTTCGATGTCCTTCTGTACAAAAAAGAAAAAAAACATTTGCGTGTTTGTATCAGTTGTGTATTACCTTACATAAATTCTGCCTACAACTTAAACTGCATAATATGTATAAGAATAAGCAGTTTCAGAGTATAAAAATTATTATCACCAGTGCACTGTGGTACACTCATACACATAGATTAAATAAGGTAATTCATTTTTATATTCCAGTTAATCTCATATTTCTAATAACAAATGTTAATTGAAACCTTTATTATTGATTCTTATTTGTTGGTTACAATTTAGAAACTGCATAGTGTTATTTTTATTTTTAAATGTCATTAAATTAGACAATGTCAAGTTTAATAAGTGTAAAACAATGGAGAGATTGTTACATTGTGAGTAGATTTAGAATCTATAAAGAACTGTAGGAAAAAGTAGAAATTATTTTGCATGAAATGATGTGTAGGGTGATAACTAATTGCTGACTATTTTTTTATTTATTGAAACAATATTAATATCTATAAAGTAGGTATCAATTAATCTTTTAGGTTACCAAACCAAAATGTCCTATAATAATTAAAGTATAAGTCTGGCCATCTATTTGACTATGATATTAATGTATTTAAGTACTAATGGTACAAATTCATATAAGATTTGGAAGTAAAAATGATTTTATATTTAGTTTTATGCACACCTAAACTTCAAAATAACATGGATTTGTGAAATAAAATGCGTATTTTTACAGTGGAAACCGTAGACACAGCCACAGACAAAAACTGGGACGATCTTATGAAAGGACCTGGTGATGTTGTGCTGTGTGATGCTATCGATATGAAGAACGAAGAAGCTACATCCTCTGACATACCAGTGAGTGAAATTTCATCTATACATATAAATGAAATTGGAGTGTCTGTTTGTAATATTGAAATAACAGTTTTTCACCACATGCATATGAATACGGTACATATACCAAAATATTTTTTTTATATAATTTTGGCCTGTATGTCTGTCTGTTTGTTCTGGCTAATCTCTGAAACGGCTGGACCGATTTTGCCGGGATTTTTATTGGCAGATAACTGATGTAATAAGGAGTAACTTAAGCTACTTTTATCATTGGTAAATTCTTTTAATTTAGAATAATTAAATTAGATACCACGCGGACGAAGTCGCGGGTACAGCTAGTATAAAAGTAAATAGGACAGTATAAAATACCATTTTACAGTTTATGTTTACATTGGTTGTCAACTGTTTCAAAAATTGAAGCAGTGTTAAACGTAAACACATCTATATTCTATCCGTTTGTTTCTTCTAGGTATTTTAAGCCTTTTTTATACTTGTTTTTTTTTTTCACAGTTGACGTGTATTGACACTGAAATGGAGGATGATGAGGCAAGGTCGGAAGCAAGGTTCCGTTTCACGGTACCAAACTTCCGAAGTCTAAAGGACTCCGTTCTGTCTCCTCCATGTTACGTCCGTAATCTTCCCTGGAAAATCATGGTGATGCCACGGCAAGCTCCATCTCCTGATCGACAACAACAGAAGTCGCTTGGGTTCTTTCTTCAGTGCAATGGAGAGAGTGAATCTTCGAGCTGGTCATGTTATGCAATGGCTGAGCTAAGGCTCATCTCTCACAAACCTGATGCAGAACCCTTTTACAGAAAAATTCAGCATTTGTTTTACAGGTTTGTTTTGCAATGGTACAATTGTATTTTTTAGAAAATATGTATATTATATTGAATTTGTTTAAATCACTTAATACTAGATTATGTTGTTATTTATAGGTGTGTAAAGTAGTATTATAAGTATATATATGATGTACCAAAATATGCAGAGTTCTGGTATTTTTGTAATGGACTTTCATACATTTGTATCTGTATCTTGTATCTTTACACCTTTTTTTTTATTATCTTTAAAAACACATGATGAAGTGGAAAATGTCTGGTTATACGGCCGATTATACGGCTAGAAGAAGTAAGTGTAAGAGGATGAATCTTTTAAAGAACGTTAAGTACAGGTCAACATATAGGCTAAACAAAACTTAGAAAAGTAATTCCTTAAGGTTTATTTTTGTCCTTTGATTTCATCAATAGACGCCGTTTTCAAATATATCCACACGCGAAGACGCGAGCACCACTACTGATTTTAATAATTTGCCAATGTTTGATAAAATTGAAATTGTTTTTGCAGCAAAGAAAATGATTGGGGTTTCTCTCACTTTATGAGTTGGAGTGATGTATTAGATCCAAACAAAAATAACAAGGGTCTATATCTAGACACGGATGATAGCATCATAAACTGGAGGTGTATATTTACACGAACCATGAGCTTTTGACCCCCTCATAACAAAAACTCTTTCACACAAACCTGTCATTTGGTTCATATATTGAGACTTGGAGATAAATATGTGTTCCAAATTTCATAAACATATCTCAAACGGTTATTTAGATATTAATGTCCAAAAATCGTCATTTTTATCACTGATCAACTATAGATCAAAATTATAACCCACTTCCAGATGACCTAGGAAGTTCAAATTTGGTATGCAGATAGGTAATTAGGTGAATATAAAGGAAAAAATAAATGGTAAATTGTTATCATTTTACTACAATTTTTCACTTTAATTGATTCTATTTCAACTTATACTGGACGAATACTAAAATTCTATGAAAACGTCGATAGCCACCAATTGACATTGATCCCTGGCGAAAAATCTCATCTTGTACTGGACCGAAAGTAATATTGTATGAAAACGTCGATCATTACCAATTTACGTTGACCCCTTCACATCAGTGTCGATAACTAGCAAACTTCAAATATTGCATTGAGCGGTAAACATACAAAATATACTCGTACTTATAACTACTAGTATAGTCGAATTTCGTATTTATTATGTTATTAACTAAGATTTGGTATTAATTATTGTTTCAATATTTAGATATGTTTCGGTATGGTGGGAGCGGTGCGACAAAACTCAATGTTTTGTTTCTGGATATCTAACCTATAAGGTATTTAAAAATAAATATTGTGGTAAATCAAATGTTTAAACCAAAAATTAATAACAATTTTAGTGACTAATGTCTAATAGCTGTTAATCTACAATATCCCATTTATAATTTTGTATACAGCTTGTAAACATACAAGTGGTACAAGTTACTATGTATGCCTATCTTCTTACAGTTGAATTTTAAACCATACAACTGACTATCAAGCATTTAAAAGTTACAAGAAAATAAAATACTATAAAAATACAGTAATTTATCAAAAATAATTTGGTATTAATTTAGTTATAAATAAGTACCTCGTATAATTTATGTACAAAAAGTTGATATCCCATCAAAAACATAAATGGAAATGAGTATTAATCTATTAGAAAAAAAACAAAAATAACAATAATTTGTCTATTATATTAGTATACATATATTAATATTAAATTTACTGTTACATTCGGGTCAACAGTTAATTTACTTGAATAAAAATTTATTTCAGGACTCAAGAATCAAGGTGCAACATGTTACATGAATTCTCTTTTACAAACACTTTATTTTACGAATCAATTACGGAAGGCAGTTTATAAAATGCCCACAGAATCTGATGACAGTACCAGGTACATATATCACACTTATCTCTTAATTGTATAGCCTTAGCTTATATATTTTAGGTTTCTAACTTTAGAAACTTTGCAAGTTAGTAATCTGAAATATATAGGTATGTTACAGGTATAGGTAAGTTTATGAAGTGATATTATTATGTCAACACTACAAAAAAGTATTATTTATATTATTTAAATTGTAGTATGTAATGTTCTATATTTCTCAAAAACCAATCATGAAAATCCGCAAAGAAATATAATTATATAGTCCAATATTGTAACTACATTTGATAAAAAAGGATTGAAATGTTAATCCTATTTATGTGTCGATTATATTAATTGTTATAGTTGCTTTTTATATTTAAATTTGTGTTACTTTTTTTCTTATTCAGGTAGTTATAATGAAAATACCTGTTTGTCTAATTTCTATATTTCTTCAAATTTCTCGATTTGTAGTTTTCTGGTTTTTTCTACATAGTCTCAAATTATTCCTGAATATTAGAATTCAGTTTAATTAAATATATTACTGCAATTCCTACGAAATTATGTCAAATTTTACCTTTACGTTAATGTAAATAAGTGAGTAATTGCTGTTTCGATTCATGAAAAATAGCAATTCTATAATTTAATTCTAGAGTTTTATAAGATTTGTTGTATACTCTAGTATTGATGACCTGATGATACCTGTTTCAGATCAGTAGCATTGGCACTGCAAAGAGTATTTTTTGAACTACAGTTCTCAGACAAACCTGTTGGCACGAAGAAACTAACCAAGAGTTTTGGTTGGGAAACACTTGACTCGTTTATGCAGCATGATGTGCAAGAATTTTTGAGGGTATCTTACAGCTTTTCATATGTTTATTTGTCCCTTCCAAATGATTTTTTGAGATAAAAGATATCTTTTTCGTCATACTTTTGGAAATTTTATTAATTATTTTTTATAAATTACAAAATCGAATAATTCTGTCATTATTTGTTTAACATAATTGTATTTCTGTTTCGTTGCCCTAAACGAAACTTACAAAAACAAAAAAGTTATGAAAATGAGACACCTTATACATTGTCAGTACATAAAAAGAGATTAACAACAAAACACATATAAACAATACAGAACAATATAATTTTAATCCTGACATATATTTATATACATAGCCTATCTATATAATCTCCATCACAAACCAATATAAACATAGAGAAAGGAACTTGCGGAACACTCGATTTTTTGCAGAAAATTTTAACTGCGCGTGTTATTGTGGCCCGGTATCTACATTTAAATTTATAACTTCATTTCTTTATTTATATTAACATTTTCAGGTACTTCTTGATAAATTGGAGAGCAAAATGAAAGGTACATGTGTAGAAGGCACTGTGCCAAGACTTTTCGAGGGCAAGATGACTTCATACATTAAGTGCAAGAATGTTAATGTTTCCAGTACACGTGTCGAGACATTTTATGATATACAACTTAATATAAAGGGAAAGAAAAACAGTAAGTTTTATATTTTTGTTTTTTTAGAAATTTTGTGTACAGGGTTAGTATTAAAGTTCTAAGCCAAAAGCCATATTATTTTCATGACATTCATCAAGAAGAAAGATTTCTCAAGAGAAGAAAAATGGGAAGAGAATTATTTTTAAACCTTCACATAAACTGCGCGCTAATAGGATGGAAAATAAAAAGTTCAAACATTAATATTAACTTTATTTTCATGAATGGCAAACAAGCTGATAGACTGCCTGATGGAAAGTGGTTGTTTATGCAGTGCCTTCATGATCCTGACTTAGGTTTGGTTTATGAATCTCATCTGATTGAGTGATATAGACCAGTTTAGCACAACTGGTAAGTGGTTGCCGTCGCCTATATGCATGAATAGCACTACGAAATACTACTACTACACTTCACGTTATTATATTTCTTCGATGCGTGATACCACTTAATTATTCTACCTGACTTTTAGCTTGATATGCTGTTTAGGACTAACCTTATATAGTAGTAGTATATTGGAAATCCTTCATGAAATGACTGGTTTTACCTGGAAACATGTGTATGATTCTACATATGTAGGGTTGCGGGTAAAATCTGGAAGAGAAGGGCTGAAGATCGTGCCTAGTGGCGTGTCTTGGGAGAGGCCTATGTCCAGCAGTGGACTGCAGTGGGCTGATGATGATGATGATGTTTATGATAGCATGTCATGTTTTATATGAATCCATTACATATTCTTGTCTTGAAAAAGTAGTAAGTATTCATCCATACATCAGAAAATTTTGCGTTTACCGCGTAATCGGATAAAGGCTACATGTTGTATATAATAATATTATTATATATATAAATTAAAATGGTTATAAAATTAAAAATTGAGATATTACTTTTTTTGTTACTGTGACATGTACACTTGTTTTAGTTGATGAATCATTTAAAGACTATATTAGCACTGAGACACTGGACGGTGAGAATAAGTATGACGCCGGCGAGCATGGTCTGCAAGAGGCAGAGAAGGGTGTCATCTTCGCTTCTTTTCCTCCGGTCCTACACTTGCACCTCATGAGGTTCCAATATGATCCCATAACCGATAGCTCGGTCAAGTTTAACGATAGGTAAGCTCGCTGTATGAATTTAATATTTAAGGCAGTATATGTTTTATATATCTGAAAGATTTTGGATGAATATTAATGTTGAATATGTTGCTCCACTAAATCACATCAGAATCGTATTTATCGTATTCTAACTTACACTTAAGAACAGACAAGCCATAAATTGCTATTGTTTTTATTGACTGATATAAGTTAGTCAATAAACAAGTTTAATTGAATTTTAACAAAAACATAGATTTCTAAATCTATTGTTGTGTAGAAGGTTGTAAGCAATGTTAGCCTAATACTATGCAATGTTGAAAACCCTTATTTAATTATTGCAGCATTTATATCTCTATTATTAGTTTTCTTATTACATTGCTTAGATTAGTTTCATTTAATATTACACAATCTTTATCCCAGGATGCCCTAAAGTCGCTGATATCTTGCTATTTTTAAATGAGTATAAATTTTTAAAATTTATCAACTACAAACTAGAAATAGAACTGTAAAGTGGAAGACAGTCTTCCACTTTAAGTTCTACTATAGATGTTTATAATTAATTTACTATTCCAATGTAACATTAAATGAAATTAAACTATATGTTAATATTCTTAGGTTCGAATTTTATGAGCACATCAACTTAGATGCATACTTGCAAGAAAAACCTGAAACGCCTGCCGATTATACACTACACGCTGTTCTGGTTCACTCTGGTGATAATCACGGAGGACATTACGTTGTTTTCATTAATCCAAAAGGCGATGGAAAGGTAGGTGTCTGAATAATATCTTTTATTATAGCACTGTATAATTAGTAGCACACTGAGTATGGACAAATTCAAGTCTATCTTTCGGGTGATATATACTGCTACTATATATAGAAGAGAGTAATGGAATTTAAAAAAAATGTTTATTAAAATTTGTTACGTCATTTATTCGGTTACATTGTTTCTTCTGACTGCTAACTGTTCTTAGAATTTTTCTTCTTGTTCTGTTCTTCTTACACAAGTAACCGTATTTTTTGGAGAAAATTTAAATCTCTTAGTATTAATTTTAATTCCAAATTGACTAGGTATGATGTTTCTACTGTATATCTCCGAATACACATCGATTATGCTCTGTAACAGTGGTGTAAGTTCGACGACGACGTGGTGTCACGTTGCACCAAGCAGGAGGCGATCGAGTACAACTACGGAGGCCACGACGAAGATATGGCACTCACAGTACGGCACTGCACTAATGCATACATGTTGGTGTATATTAGGTGAGAGATGTTTTGAATTTATAGTATAAATCGATACTCTTTGGCAACTACAAGGCTGATATAGACAAGTAGGATGTTTAATAAAAATATTTATTCATGATACACATTTACATTTTAATTTACTGTAGTTCTACACTAGGCTCGCAGGCCTGTATTGTAGAGACTGGAGTGACTTATTATTGTGTACATTTTACATGTTTATCCTTTTTGTATTAATAGCTATTTGAAAAATGGAACTTGTGTGTAAAATGTAGGAAATGAATTTGTGGATGTATGATGTTTAGTACTGGTTATCTTATTCTATAACTGGTGGATGACAGTTTGCACTAATCCGACTGATATAATGTCATGCGTATCAATAACATGTAGGCAAAGTTTCAGTTACGCTGTAACTAGTTTGAATGTGCTAACGCCAGTGAATGCTAAGTTGTACATTTTTTTAGGGATTGCCTCCACACTATAGTAATATCTTTTTGGACAGAGCCCAATCTCATTTCTGTTGTATATGAATACTATCATTGGAACTACATTTTAAAATCATAAGTTTACAGTAGATTTCCTGAATTTGTAATTTTTTGATCAAATAATTGAATACAACATTATTACATTCGACTAAGTCGATAAATAGTCAATCAATCCTATTATTCTTATTCACAGAGATTCACAATTAAAAACTGTATTACAAGAAGTTACACAAGCAGATATACCCACGGAACTAAGTGAGAGACTGGCTGAAGAGAAGAGAATTGAAACAGTATGTTTTCTATTATTCTAATATAAACCATTTAAAAAGAAACAGAAATAATAATAAAAATGTATATACTTATTATAATTAAAACAATAATCATAAGTAGAAAAGAATTTAATACTAAACAATATAATGTTGAGAATGATAACAGCGATTGTCATCAAATTTGAAAATTGCATTGCCTAGCGTTCAGTCAGTTATTCTCATATTTCTATCATGTGCAGAAAACTAAATTATATTTTATAGGTTATGTTTTATTATGGGGCCACTAGTTCCCATTACCGACCATCACGTCCCCCGATGTAATGTTCTGCAATTTTTATCATTACCATTATCACCAGATACGTCGTAAAGAGCGGAACGAGGCACATCTGTATATGAACGTGAACGTAGTATTAGAGGAAGCCTTCGACGGCCATCAAGGCAACGACCTCTATGACCCGGAACGCGCCCACTACCGCGTATTCCGCGTCAGAAAGCAAGCTACCGTCGCGGAGCTAATGGAGATGTTGGCGGAAAACTTCCGTTACCCTTTGAAACATCTTCGTCCGTGGCCGTTCAGTGCGCGTTCTAACCAGGTAATTTCTTTCCGATCCTTTTTCTTTTCCGATAATTTTTGTATGTAACAGGAAGGACAATCAAACTGATAAAAAGTGGGAACCGTATGAATCACCATATCACGTTTTGATAGCACGCACTTAGTGTACCTGTCATGCATTGTCATTCCCGAGGACTAGTTATTTGGCTTCATTGATTTTACTAAGAAGTAGAGCAGTGTACGTGGTAGCGAGTATTTACATAAGTCACTTTGTTTGGTATTTCGGCCATGCACGAATAATATTTCATTTCTATTTTAATTTTTTTACCTATGAGTTTAGTGTAAGCTATGTAGCGACAAAAAGTCGATTTCACATTTCATAAAAAAAATGGCTGTATATTTTTATCTTACTTCACGCAATCAGACTGCCTGTGTATAAGCAAATTTTTTAATAATAAAAATAGACTAAAAAACTTATTTTAATATCTTCTTTGCAGACATGTAGACCAACATGCTTAGACATTGTCAATGATCAACATAAGACGGTTGCGGACGTATCAGAAAATATGAATCCCTGGAACATTTTCCTGGAGATGCTACCTCCTGACTCGGGTTTGAGCGCACTCCCGAACTTCGATAAAGAGAATGATGTAGTATTGTTCTTCAAGTTCTATGATCCCAAACAAAAGCGCATACACTACTGCGGTCACCACTACAGGCCTATCGCAAGCAAGCTAGCTGACCTTATACCAATACTCAACAAGCGTGCCGGTTATTATCACTTTTTATGTTTATTTTATTTTCTATTCTATATCTAATTTCAAAATGCAAAAGTAATCTAAGATTTGATAATATTCACGTTGTATTGAAATAAACCAATGCAAAATATGAGCGTATTGTTGTGTTTGTCACTACATCAACAGTTGAAAATACATTTACTACGATTATATATATGGCTACTTTATCGTGAGTGTATAATTTTTAATATTCTTATTAAAAAAAAAGATATATAGCCGAGGAAATTGTAAACGATTGGTATTTTAATAAATTTTTTCTCAGTCACACGGCGATGTTTCAAAGATAATAACATATGTTATAAATTATATGTTTTTATAGGTTTCCCACCGGACACTCCTCTTGTCTTGTACGAAGAGATCAAACCAGACTTTGTGGAGAAGATCAACAATTACAATGATCCTCTTGAAAAGGTATTATTTATCAGTTTTACTCTATCACACCTTTCATTAATTATAAGTAATTAGATACGCTATTGTATTGCAGAACTTATGTGTATTATATTTATAACAATTTAAATTGGGGCAAATAATAGTTTATTTTATAGAATCACTGTGGTAGTATTTGTTTGATATTTGTATTATTGGGATTTTTACAGCAGCAAAAATATTGACAAGATTGTCTTTGAATTCGCCATTCTTTATACTTTAGAGACAGCTTAAATAATATATATTCAACCTGGAATACAAATCGGCAAATGGCAGTATACTTATTTACCTTATGTACTATATTGTTTATAAATATTAACTTTATACCCCTTAATGATATCGAGTACAGTATAAATTTATATAGAAAGTATGTTATGGAAATTGTGTATTAGAATGTAATGTTATTTTTATAAACAAATGGATATGTCTGTACTAACATTTTAGTTACCAGCTCCCATTTGTAATGCCGATGGAGTCTTTATATTCAATTGATCCCTTTAGATCCTTAAAGTGTAAAGGCCACAGTTTAATAATAAAAACTTGTACCCATGAATGACTAAAAGCCTAGTACAAAGTGCTTATACCGAACAAAATTAAAAAATATCTTACAAAAAATGATACAATCAACCAAAATATTTCACTTATAATTCTTTACTAGTAAAGGACTTACATCAGAATTTGTACTTATAATTATTATTAATTATCACATCCTTGACATTAGAGAACAACTAGTGTATTTCTGTTTCATACCTACTAGAAATAGGTAAGACATAAATACACACCTAGGTTAGTTCAAAATTTTATAAAAACTGTTTGGTTTGACTGCTGTTTCATTCAATAACATAATAAAACATCCTCCTATATAAACATGTATTACTAAAACGGATGTTTTAGAATTCTGTATCAGTTCGTTAAAAATAACTAAACATCTGTTAAGATATAAAATATCGCTAATATTACACTTTAAAATTACACATGTATACATTAATTTTTAAGAATACTACATAGACTTTAATTGTATTGTTTATTGCAATTTTATTACTTTTTTTTGGAGTTCAATCTGAAGGTATCAATTGTATATTAATTCAAATGACAGGTATGGTACTAACATCACCGGCTTGTTCATTTCATGCTTACTAGCTGTGCAGACTATATTGCTATGTTATCATTATGCTGTACATAGCTCCTAATCATCACGCCATTATTTTGTGTCAGTTTGATGTATATATGTTGTTGACCTTCAATTCAATTTTGATTTAATGCCGGAAAAGTGTCTCCACTAATATGTATAATTGTTTAATATTAACTGTTGTAGAGTCTAAAATATTAGATGCAAATTGACACAAAAAATATTTCAACAATATATCGTTTTGTGTCGATATTGGTTAGCCCGTTTGTCCAGATCCGAAGTATCTAATTCACACTACGAATTGTCCTTAAAGTCCTATACAGCTAAGTCGCAGTTAGAATATAAATAATTAGAATATCGTGAGCAGTAGTAGTAGTAGAGTTTGTGAATTGGATACTAGTCCTTTATGGATGAACGGCGCAAACCCGTTACCCCTTGGATTGAGTCGTGTGCACGCGGCCAGGTATTGGACGAGCTGATGGACGGCGATATCATCGTGTTCGAGCGTGCTGATCACCGGCACGACGACCTGGAACTGCCCACGTGCCAGGACTACTTCAAGTACATATTCCACAAGGTGGAAGTGCAGTTTGTGGACAAGACCGTGCCTAATGATCCCGGGTGAGTTTCTTATACCTGTGTATATATATTTATGTAGATTTTCGTATCTCTTTATATAATGAGTAATAGATGGGATTTCAAATACAATATACCTATATACTATGCAGATTGCATTTTATGTTAGACACAATGTTAACGCAACAATTTATTTTTACTGGATTTTTGTATGTGTTTCGAAACATTCAGATTAATATTCAGATTTATATTAGACTATCAAATATACTGTAAATACTATAAAAAAAAATATGTTAGTTGTCAAAAGTAAAAAGTCTATTTGAATACTCATAGAATCAAACTGAACCATTTTCACCAAGAAACAAAGTGGAAACCTAGAAATTTCCATTTTGTATCAAATGAAAATTTTCAACCTTAACTTCACTACTATAGTTGTAACATCAAAATAATTAAAATTATTTTGCATTTACCAATATAGTAGTGATTTTACCAGTATAGTAGTGAATACTACAAGATAAATATATTTTACTGTACAAGCATGACTCATCTTTAATCTTATCATCAATTAGGTTCACGATGGAGCTGTCAATGCAAATGCGGTATGATCAGATGGCGCGGGCGGTCGGACAGCGGCTCAATGTAGATCCGTACTTAATACAATTCTTCAAATGTCAAAAGTAAGTATTTGAATTTCTATTGAAGAGATAATGAGCTTTACTGTGCAAACAAAGATTAAAGTCTTAGACATTGTATTAAGAAAGATAACGAATAAACTTGGTATAAAAAAGATAACTAAATGTAAACACAGAATTTTAGACGGCCGTTGTGTATAGCAATAGTTTAAGCCTTATTTACATTTAGAAACCATTTTGTAAATTTCAACATTGACTAAAGAAGCGAGTAATTAGTATGAAAATTGCCTATAGTATTACTAGTTCAGACTTCGCGCAATGTAAACACCGTTTTATCGTGCAGGATAATTAAAATATGACGTTATAAGAACCAATATTTAGTTACCAAGTCAGAACCAATAGTTATGAGAACCAACGGCGAGTTGTAAAGAATATTATATTTCATCCAAACTGAACCATGGAAGTTATAAAGAATCCCCTGAAACTCTATACCGCTTTATTTTTCGTATATACCAGAGACAACAATATTGTCATAAATATTTATAATCTATTTTTTAATCTTATAGATTGAATTGACAGGTATAAAATAAAATTTTGTTGTACAATACTGTATTGAACAAGACAACAATATATTGACAGCCTCGATGGTCAATGGTTTAGCACAATGCTTTACTTCCGGTGGTCGTGGGTCTGATTCCTCGTATGGTGCAAACGTTTGTATTCATGCTTGTTTTTATCGGTCTGGTTTTCTATGTATATTATGTATGTATATAGAAAAAAACTCAGTATTTATATCAGTTGTCTAGTACCCATAACACAAGATCTAGCTTAGTTTAGGAATATATAGAACTATGTATAGAAATTTTGACATTAGTAAACTATAATATAAAGCAACATCTTTTTTCATTCAAGAGCTAAATATTTTAAATAGATGTATGTTTTATGAAATATGATAGCATACCGAAGGACATTATTATTTTTATAAAAGGTGCAGTTTTTCTTAGTTTAATAAATATATGTAAATTTAAAAATAATATTTTCTTAAAACAACCTTATACTGATTAATACCTTTACTTTATAAATTTCGGAGTAACCTATAAAAATCGGTTATTAATATTAATTTCCGATAGTGCCCAACACTATTTAAGATTCGCATAAAGCTGGCAACATGTAAAATAATATTAAGAATATTGGTTATTGTTTTAAATTAGATTACAAAATTTGGTCAATGTTAAAATTTATGATTTCAGCTCACTCATACGACACTATATTAATGTTTATTTTTAATTGATCTGTTGGCCAGCATTTTACTGTCCTAATAATGTTCCTGATTTATATTTATGTTTAAGGTCTGATTCACATGATTTGGGGTACAATCAATTTATTATTTTTGTTTGTTTTTTTGTTATAGTTACAAGGATACACCTGGAGTACCATTGAGATATTCCTATGATGGAATACTCAAGGATTTACTTGTTTACTGTAAACCAAAGTGCCCTAAAAAATTATTCTATCAGATATTATCTATTAAAGTTAATGAATTGGACAACAAGAAACAGTTTAAATGTTTATGGGTGAGTATTGTTAGATACTATTACATACTTCGATGTCAAATGTATTTATCTGTAATCAAATTCAAATACATTAGTTATAGAGTCTATTATTATATATTTTATATTCCAGTACAAAGTATGCCTTTACTTTTTTTTATAGGTCGGTCCAAATTACAAAGAAGATAAAGAATTAATTTTATACCCAAATAAAGGTGGTAAAGTGGCAGATATTTTAGAAGAGGCAGCAAAAGTAGTTGAATTGTCACCTGAAGGATCCGGCAGGTGAGTTTGTATTCATTTCACTGATTATGTATTTTCTTAACAATGTAAATGTTATAGTGATGAGCTGACAGTTATATAGTCACACATTTTTGGTATCAACAATCTAGATTATATTCTATTCTTTGTTTTTTCATTGGGTGATAATGGAGGATGATAGACCTGATGAGCATGAACTTAGCTTAGCTCATGGTTAATTCATCAGGAATACGACGATTTCCAGTTAGAATCTTGTGGAGGTCAACCTGATTTTTACATTGCTAGTAATGGGTCACAAGTCCCATTACTTACAATCTCCTCCACCCCAAGGATAGTATGTTTAACAAACTTCAAATCTGTACACAATAAAGTCTAACTAAAACAGTCAACTGGTATGGTATAGAAATAAATAAAAAAAATCACCCACAATTGAAAATTAAAGAAATACTCTTTATGTATTCTGGTCAGTTTTTAGTAAATAAAACACTATTCAGAAAGAAGCTCTAAATTATGTTTTTCTGATATAATTTCAGATTAAGAATTGTCGAGGTGGCGTGTCATAAAGTATTACCCGGACCTGACCTAGAGCTCACGTTGGACCAAGTGACTATATCGCCACCAAGATTGTACAGAATAGAGGAGATACCCAGAGATGAAATGCACCTGCAGGTAATATTATTTTCAAATTCAACTTACTGTGTTTTGGTTTAAAAATAAATTATATGAAAAATCATAGCACCTTTGTCTTGTAATATAAATGAGATCTGTATAAAATGTTACATTACTTTTTATAGAGATTCCTTAATCTTCATTATGTTTATTAGGGTCATATGGGTCATAAACCTGTTGCAATTCTGGATTTTCTAATTAATACTACAGATGTTAGTTTCATTAAATGGCGAAAACTTTTTGGATGTTTGGGCGAAACATATTTTTGACTAGCTGCCCGCGGTTTCCCCTCGTGAAATTTATAGCCTATGAGTGTTATTCTTGATGTATAAGCTTATTGTAAAATTGCATTAAAATCCATTCCGTAGTTTTTGTGAGAGTAACTAACATCTAGCCATTTATTATAAAGGCAGAAGTTTGTGAGTGTGGATGGAATATTCAAAAACTTTTGCTTTCATAATATTAGTACGATAACTTGAATATTTATAAGCATACAAATACGTGTATTTATCTATTCATTAGGATGATGAGACGTTGGTCCCGTGTGCACATTTCCACAAGCAGGTGTACTCCACTTTTGGTATCCCGTTTTATGCACGCGTCAAACACAACGAGCCCTTCCAAGCGCTCAAGGATCGCTTGCAAAAGAAACTCGATATACCAGATAAGGAGTGGGAAAAGGTACTGAAAATAGTTTAATATAATATTAATAATTACATGTCTATCCTCATTTCATTTAAGTTTCATAGTGATTCATGAAACTAGTTTTGTAATATAAATAAGTGAAATCAAATCAAAACAAATTTATTTTGCTATAAATATAGGTAATTTATATAGGTTATGATTCTGAAATATAATATTCCCTTATGTTATGTTTAATTGGGCATGTATATAGATATATATTTAAAAATGAATTCGTTAACAAAAAACTTTTAGCGTAATTCAACGCATTAACGGTAAAGTTGGAAAGTATATGTATATAAACTTTACAGGTTTATATAAGTTGATATGTTTGTTTAGCCACATTTTTATATGTTTACGATGAAAGGACTGATTTGTTATGTAAATTTTGTTTCAGTACAATTTTGCTATAGTGTCAAATGGCAGACCTAATTACATAAGTGAAGGAGTGACAATAAATATTTATGACTTCAGGCCAAGTAGTAATGCAAGTGAGTATTATATTGAAAATTTTTTTAAACTGAAATCTTATAGAAATCAATTTTTTATTAACAACTATTGGAGTGTTTTCTTACTCTCTTTCTAATAAAGTAAGAAGCTTGAGAGAAAGGAATGAAGTTATTTAATGGCTGAAATACACTTAATATTTCCCTAAATATAATAATCAACGACTGTACACAAAGCTAAAAACGTTATAGTTTATAAAAGCTAAAAACGTTATAGGAGAGTCTATTTATAGGGCTCTTCAATATATCAATCTTGCTAATTTTACTTAATTTCTTAATAGTGCTGACTCTTAACTTTGAGTATGACGCACAATATAATAGATTGTTTATTACACAAATAAGAGAACTGAGAAATTATTGACAATGGTTAATGCTATTCGTACCGATTCGATTCTTAAAAGAATACGTGCTAAAATTTAATAAAGATCTGCCCCTCCCAGACGCGACGGGCCGGCCCTGGCTCGGCCTTGAGCACATCAACAAAACGCCGAAGCGGTCCCGCGTCAACTACTTAGAGAAGGCGATCAAGATCTACAACTGAGCCATATTGTGCGCGCCTTGGTTCGCTTGACGTCACACCGGCCGTGCTGACGGGCGATTCACACAGACACACACAGACGCGCCGCGTTCCTCCTTGCGGTAGTAACTGCTACGGACATCCCTATACCATTACCAATCTAAATCTTCCCATGAAATTTACCGAGAACGGCAATTGATATTGACTTCACATATCTAAACAAGATCAACATAATTTAAGATTAGAAACGTCAAAAACCTTCAGCTATGAGGTCGATTTGTATATTTTCCTATGTAAACTTGTTTATGCGCAGGTCATACGATAAAATAACAATATTCAAATTAATTGAAGACACTGGTAAATAATATTGTACTATAAGATACATTCGTCATAGTATTTATCGGTGGAGGCTTTTAAAAATAATTAAATGTTGTCGTTCACGGTAATATGTTTTGTTTTAATTAAATATTTCATTTCAACTTTCTATTATATTCGTCACGTGCTGTTTTACTATTGCATGGATACGCAAAATAGCCTTACACATATTTATAATAATAATGTACATCGCAAACACCAATGTTTGACTTCCTTACCAAGCTGTTTGAAATATAGTGAACCGAACATATTACGGACCCGTGTTACGTCAAATTATCTCTTGTAGTTCAGAATAATATCTGCTGCTCCTATTATGCAGTATCCCCTATGAACTGTAAAGAGAATATTTGATAAAATCGTTACAGCTAGATGAATAGAATTTAGAAAGTTATAGTTAAAAAAATACCATTTGTCTATGCATAAGAACATAACAGGGCTGTGTATGTGCGAATCATTATCTTCTGATGGCCAAATTTTACTAACAACATTATAGTGAATAGTGTCTTATTCATAAAAATTCTTTGTTTAAAAGCTCAAACGTCAATATTTTAAATCACGCATTATTCATAACGAATAAAACATCTGTAACCAAATGTTTCATGCAGTTATGTTGAAATTTTTATTTGGTTTAACTTAGGCTGCAAATTAACTATAAAATATTTTAATAGAGTAATACTATTTATTATATTTGGACTTCCTATAGATCAGTGTTTCCCAACCTTTTTTGTCACATTTCATGATGACATGTCTCATTTTAGCATTTCTAAAATACCCTATTTAACGTACATATTTTTTACTATTAACAAATTAAATTGTTCACCTAACAAATTTAAATGATATACATATGTATTAGCACTCGCTAGGAAATTGTTAATGCAACACAGTAAGTAAATTTTCAATGCATAATGAAAACCAGAAATTGAAATTGCAAATCATTTTAAAAAAGATATTTCTATATTGATTTAATATTTTAATTTAGTGATAAAATAATTATTTAAGACTAGTTAAATTTGGCACTGAAATATTGCATTGCATTTAATGGCCTGAAGTGAAAGGTTAAACACATGACAAGTCCACTTCATATTAGGGTCTGGGCTCCACGTTGGGTAACACTGCTATAGATTAGTTTTAATTTGTCACTTTGAGTAATTTAATTTCTTGCTGAAAGCAGTACACAGCCCATATTATATCCAACCATATACCATTAACCATATATATGATTCTGTACAACCTGTTTAATCAATATTAGTGTCAGCTTTTAAATTTCAATTATTTGAAATTTGAATATAAAGTTTTTGAGTTAGGAGCCTTTTTGACTTAGTACACTTAAAAATAATATATTTTTCGTAAAGGCTATTTTACGATTAGCAACTATCAGGTTTATTATGTGAATTGGGTTCTTTTTATAAGCTGTAATATGTTTATGAAAGCTGTTTATTGAATTGACGATTTATTATAAAGAGCTTCAAACGGGTTATAATTTTTATGAATAAGATTTAATATTTATTGTATAGATAGTTTATTGTTTTAACAATGAGAACAGTCTTTGTCGGTTACGTTTTTACTACGTTTATTTTATAGCCTTATAGCGTTTGCAGTGTTGAAATCGTTTAGTTAATTTATTGATCAAATTGCTGTATGTCAATATATATATATATATATATTTTAAATTTAAAACTGCTTGGTTGGGAATACGTTGGGAAGATCGTCACTAACAATGTTTTCTCGATACAATCGAAGAGGTTTTTGGTGATTCGACAAAATTGGACAATTGGACATCGTTACCGGTACAGGAGTAGTCTGCGCAGACGAGGCAGCATTAGAAACTCGTTTTTTCCCGTCAAAATAGAACACGCATATAACTTATTTTTTAATATAATAGGAAACTAGTTCTGTCATTTCTAATAGTATGTATTCTTTTCCGCCATATGTCTAGAATTTTTAGACCCTTTTTATAGCAACTGCCGACTACTTATATAACACAGTTCTCTAAAAATACTTTTAAAGAAACAAATTGACAGTTTTAGGATTATGTATGAGCCACTTTACAGCTACGGACACTGTCTAATGGTATATAAATAATTCAATATCTATGTCAATGTGTTTTTAACGAGAATTAGTAACAACGGAGTATGCATATAATTACGCCTCAGGTCATCAGTTTCTTGGTTTTATTGTCTAAACGTGACGTAAAACCAGTTTAGTAAAACCTATGCTAGCGCGGCTATGGAGATTTTGATATAATTAATTATTCTGCACTGTACTTTAATTAAATTAAATTAATTTCAACAATGTACTTAATCAGTTTTGTCACAAATAAATAGGCTAATTAATATGTACTAGTACGTGGGAGCACGTCTTTGAACCAACAAATGATCGCGGACAAAAAGGTCGTCGTCTACGCAGACTCCTGTCGAGTATTATGAGTTTGTAATATATATAATTGTACATGTGTTTTAAGATATATATAAATATAGACGTCAAATGTGCCTGTGTGAACGCTTGCCGGTCGATTTATACAGCTATACTTGACCTGTGCAGTGAAAGTGTCCTCAATAAAGAAGTTATAAGTACTTTATTATCAAATTTGTTAACCATTATGGTTATAATCAGATATTTTTTATAATCAGATGGATAGTCAATTCTCTAATTGGCTCGCCGCAGTTCACTGTTTGTTTTGGGCTGTATAACAAATGCCAAGGGGCGTAATATTTGTTGTAGTACTCAATTATATTACATGGCTACTAACCAATAACAATATTTTCAATAACATGTAAAGAATGTTGTAGTATTCTCATTCGGCTTGTCGGGAGAGTGAGACCGATAGAAAGAAAATGATTAGAATTGTTTTGTAAATATAAAATGAAACGTGAGATTAATTTTTCTTATATTGTATTGCCTAAATTTAAAATTTGAAGATGTTCGCTAAATACATCTTTTCTTTTTTTATATTCAATTTGTGGTAGCTTTTTGGGAATTGCACTTTATGTAATATTTTTGCTACTAATAACTTTTATATTGATGTTTCAATTAGGTAGGTATACGCCTCGCGTTAAGGTTACAAGAAATAATATATAAAGACTAATCTTAAATCTCTCAAAGATTGGTTTATAATCTGTAAACATCATGTCACTTCTTAATTTTTATATTTAATGTAATCTTTTTAAACCAATATTTTTCGAGCAAGTTCAAATATAACGTCTCATACGTTTGTAAAAATAAAAGTCAATTGAGAAGATTAATTATCGTCAGAGTTTCTAATACGGTTCGCTAAGTAATATGTCTAAACGAAATTATGTTTTTAGATTTGTTTTGAATTTCTATAGTATTGTGATAATAATAGGCTTGTATATAGCTGTTGCACACATCGTAATATAAAACAAAAATTGTAGTATTGTGCCGGGTTTGCGCTGATGCCGCCAATGTTGAATTAGTAGGAATATTTTCTTAAGTTTAAATCGTTCATCGGTGTTTTACCGTTCAGTGCTCACAGTTATCTATTTGAGCTTAAGAGAGAATTCCAGGCGGCTCTAAATTTTACTGACAAGAGTCGAAATGCAGAGTTTTTATAGAATGTATAAATGCGTTTTGAATATTGTCGAATTACCAAAAACAGTGTACATTTGTGGTCGGCTGGCTAGCATCGGTGTAAGGGTCACGCAACGCCGGCAGCGATGTCCTCGCGTTGACTCACGTTAACTTGTAACTGCACATAGGTGACAACTTTATAGATACTAGCGCTATATTGTTAATTCTGGCTGAAAGCCTAATGGACATCCAAAACATGTATATGTAATTATTTAATTTTTTTACTTGAGCTACCGACAAGATGTTACGTTATTAATAAAAATGATTATGTCGAAATTATGTATATATATGATATAATAAATTAAGAAAAAATACAATAAGTTTTCGTAACGATGCCTTAGACGTTTCATGATATTTTGTTTCTTAACTTATAAATTAATTAATAATTTGAATCGAAACCCATTTAGTTTGTTTTACATTATAATAGTAACTTATTCTCATTGTGCGACAGAGTCTTTCTATGTCACTCGTGTAGCTTGATTTTGAAATGATTCAAGAATATATTTTTATCATAACAATGTGTGTTGGTTGCGCTATTTTCATTAACATGGTTTTGAGGTATTGCGACAAACTTAGAAACATAGTGGCTTAGAATACATATGCCAATAAATTATAAAGGCAAATGGGATTATAGTCTAATATTTAATTTAAAAGTTCTACAAGTATCAATACACCTGTAAAGGAACCTGTACACGGCTTGTACAAACGATTGGGACGAGTTCCAATGTTTGTTATGTTGGATTTGAATGTTTCACTGAATATAATCCTATATTTGTTTACACTGGTTTGTTTTGGACGAAAGTACTAATACACATATCCTTATATATAGCGAGAAACAAGGGAAGTATGCGACATCTTTTATACTCTTCGATTTATTTAGATTTGTTTATTGTCACTTAGAATCCTTATGTTAGTAATACAATCCTATTCTCTTGTTCATAACATAAACAAGGAGACAATACCATTTACTGTAACTGTTTTATTCAAAGCTTCAAATAAGCATCAAAATACTGTTGATTGGGTGTCTAAATTCTGAAGCTTAGATCCAGTAATGGTAATTCTTATTTTAATTACCTATCGATGTCTTTGAGTAATAAATACATTCTTATTTATTACTCAAAGGCGCATTTATTTGTGTATGGATCCTTATTCTTAGAACTAGATATTTCGTTTTATGTATCCGAATGGCATTGTCAGGCATTTCAGGATGTACCTTGAAATGCCTGACAATGGCAACCGCTGTCATATACATGAATAGCATAGTGAACAGCACGTCAAGATGTGACACCCATGGACTCCTCATGCATTACAATTCCGGCAGAACTAAAATTCCACGGGAACAGACTTCGAAGAAAACTACTTGCAGACTTAAGTAGACAGAGATCGTCTGTATAATCTACGCGTTTTGTACAAACTACAGTGGTAGGTACTTTTATCCAAATTTATGTAGACAATATCGCGGCTTAAAGCTAGTGTTCTGTAACAGAAAGTCTAAAGTTCTATTTCCCATTTCCGTCATCTCTGAACTTTTGATATTATGTCAATACAAAATGCATTGAATATGTTATTACCGGACCTGTCTGCTCGATATTTCCTCTCCGCCAAAATACGATGTAATCTCTGCGGTAATATAATATTTTGGATGACGGTCTGTTGTGTATACCAAGTTTCTCTATGACTAATTATATATATTGTAAGTAAAGTCGCTAATAGAAAAGTACAAAATGTCTCGTTAAATGTTGTGCTTCTTATTAAAATGCCCACAATAATCAGCATTATTTTGAGTGGACACAAAATACTATTAGAATAATCATATTTTTCTTATCATACTAACTTGTCAATTCCATAACGCCATATCTGTTTAACACACTATGTGCGATTTTGTTATGTGTACAGGGCATGAGATGACGTTTATCTTTATGAACATTGAAGAAATAAAAATAGTATAATGTTTATTCCAATAAACTCGATACAAGCACGTTTGAAATGTGAATAGTTATATTTTTTTTTATTCTACCGCTCATTCGGAGGCCCATAGACGCAAGGTTACTACGTTATGTACTATGTATAATAATTTATAATTTTTGCTTGGATTATATTAGATTGAACCACAGCTTTTTTTTATTAATATGTGTGGATTTAGATCCAGTCTAAAGAAGAATTGCTATGTAGGTATAGAATTAGATTGCAGTATATTTCTATTTATTTATTCACATCTATGAATTTTAAAGTATCTTCTTTTAGTATGTATTGCGGAGTCCTGAAATTATTGGCAACCTATTTATATATTCATAACTTTATGACTGTGATAAAATTTGACGTATATTTTGCATTGCGTAGAATTACGCCTACGTAGCTACGAGTACATCTCTACCCAAATATCTGCACAAACCAGCCCGAGTGTGTTGCCGTGGGAACAATACCGTAATATCATTTAAATCCTCTCTGTCCTACAAATCTTTGTGAAGCTTTCGAAATGATTGAATTTTTACGCAGCCTAAAGGATTTTCGTTCAAATTTCGTATTTCTATTTATGTAAACCATTTTTTGTTCATATTGATATATATACAATATACATATATATTAATATTTTTCAATTGTGTTCCTTGATGTCACCCACAATACATAAATGTGTAGGTACATACCTATGTTTGCATGCTATGTATTACGCTGCTATGTTCTATTGACTATCTTTATTTTTTTAATTATCCGATAAAGCCTTTCAGTGGTTTTTTTATGTTCATAATCTCGAGTGCATCTGCTTGATGCACTTTACTCAGTCCGATCCAGTGATTGTCACGGAGTGACTGCGGAGTGATAGTGAATAGAATATGCGAATGGATGCGGAGTGATACTTTATACTCTTTAATTATATACTAGCAACGTATTAATTTAATATTTTTGTGTGCATTGAAATAACTGCCATAGTTATCGATTTATTCCGTTAAATTTAGATTAAGTTTTAAAATAACAACAAAAATGGGTTGTATTTATATCTGTATTCATGTTAGACTACAAAGTAGACTTGCTGATTAATTATCACTCTGAATTAACCAAGATGGTATCCAGAGACCTCTGTTAGGAGGTCGACTTAACTTGATTGTTAGCAAAAGGGTCAATAGCGTGCATCAGTCACAGGTTCATCTCTCCTTATTCGCCTGGGTCAGATGATAGTTCGTTCCAACTCGTTTACGCTAATTGTGCTGCGCTACACTATTTATGAATCATATATAATCCGGCACACTTTAGTATATAGTAGGCGGGATGGGAACTAGTAAAGTATCTACGAAAATCGGGCAATATTATACAGTAGGCAAACGACAAATAATAATAATAATAGGAAATACTTGTAAATAAATGTGGAGATAGAAACAACAACCTTTCCAAAAATCCCTCCCAATCTTTGGATTAAATAACTAAGTAGCATGAAAAGTCGATAGGTTTTGTTGCGTTGTTGCAATGACAATTAATTATTAACGTCGCCGGCGGAATCTGTCGTAATCTCATCTCCTTCCACCGACTGGTGGCTGCGAGACGAAATGAAAAAACTACAGCAATTAATCCCGCAGCTTGGAATTGTACATTTTAAAAAGCTTTGTGAAGAGCTATCTGGAAATTACATTTTTCTTAATGATTTGCCGAGAGGCAGATAAGTAATCTTACTTTTTAATACGAGTAGCAGTTGGATGCATATTTTTACAAAAAAAGGAGATTAGGTAATAATAACTATTAGGTATAGGTATTTAGTTTTCTTTGTACCTAATATTAGTTTAGAAAAAATTGCAAACAATAATCTACATACTTATGGCATGACTTCGTGATGCTGTTTATTATTAACAGTGTTATATGATAATAAAGAATATAGACATCAGAGAATTTGTACCGACAAAATTTTGTCTTATAGACTGCTATTAAAATGGTAATAAAGTACTAAAGCAGTTTATCAGTGTCGAGCTGGACACGCTGCGAGAATGCCACCCACTGCGGCGGCATACAGAATGGTGCGTCGTTAGCGATAATCCGATTCGGGCACCGGAGCATTCGGTAGGCGCCTACCCCGAGTTTCGACATTCAACCAGCCATCCCCGCCCCGTTCGCACAGCTCAGCAATGCGGGATCAGGAATTTGTATGCAAATTGAAAATGCCATTAGATCAGCAAACATCTGCTTCAAAATCCAACGATGCATTGTGCTAGTAAACGGGAAATTATCGCGTTTTGCTCAGCTAAGAGAGTCGAGTGCACTAGTATGCAGAGCATAGGTACATACAAGGAATTCCTTGTAATTGGCTAACCATGTATCTAGGCGTAAACGTAGAATACTACGTTTACGCCTAGGTACATGATTAGCCCAATTCAAAGGAAGAGTGGTTGAGTATTCCGAAATAAAATATTTTGCGGTATCTCTGAAGTTCAAAATAATTTACCAAGTCTTACTTTTACATAATAATATACATATATATATATATATATATATATATATATATATAAATATCCCCTTGGGCACTTTGTGGCTCAGACGTGCCGTATAGGTAGTTTTTTGTTGATCCTTTTTCACTTGTTGATCCGGAGGCCTTTTGTTGATCTAATGCCAGATGACCATATATAAATGTTAATATAAATGTTAATATATTAAGCGATTTATACACGATTTTATACAAATCCACCTTTTTGGCATACGAGCAGTTCTTGATCCAATTCAAACGGGCCAATCAGGGTGCAGCATTTGCCAAGGGCTTCCTCATTGGCACGTTTGGGCTATACATTATGGCTACAGTAACTTATATATAGTATTTCAAAAATAATAGTCTACCTAATCTAAATATTTATAGAAATCAGTCTGGAGTAACGTGACTCCAGATCAAATTACTTGTTATTTTTTGGACGGAATTTTCCTTTTGTAACAACGTTACTGAGCGAATGAAGAAAGACGTAACGGCGGATCCAGGGGGGAGCGTCATGGAGGTCTTGGGAGTCATGGGGGGTCATGACTCTCCCCCCCTTAGCCCAGGACTTAGGTAGACCACTAATTGAACTAAAAAATAATGAAACAGCTAAATTTTTTGCACGATCGGAGTGTTGGTGCAGTAGTATTAATTATAATTAAACATTGTTACTTAAAACATAACAGTTAAAGTACTATAACACTAAAAGCAAAATAGGTATTTTCAAAATACTTTTTCAAAATAAATTACCCTTTGAGTTTTTGTTCAAACCTCAGATATTATATTTATTTTAGGTATATCAATCAATACATAGTATAGCATAGTACAGTCTGTCTGTCTGTCTGTTTGTTGCGGCTAATCTCTGAAATAGCTGGACCGATTTTGACGGGACTTTTTTTGGCAAGTAGCTGATGTAATAAGGAGTAACTTACGCTACTGTTATTTTAGAAAAATAAAATAAAATTTCACGCGGACGAAGTCGCTGGGGCCAGCTAGTCTATAGATATACCGAGATTTAATGTTTAAGTTGCTATTATGTTATTGACAAAATTTTACTGTAATGTTACTATTACGTTATCCTACACAATTTGTATTATTTTTATGAATAAATAAATAATAATCTATACATCTATACATTTAATAAAAATTGGAGTGTCTGTTTGTAATATTGAAAAAACCGTTTTTTACTACATGCATATGAATATATATAAGGTACATATACCAAAATAACTATTTTTATAATTTTAGTCTGTCTGTCTGTCTGTCTGTTTGTTCCGGCTAATCTCTGAAATGGCTGGACCGATTTTGACGGTACTTTTTTTTGTTAGCTGATTTATAAGGAGTAACTTAGGTTACTTTTATTTTAGAAAAATAAAGTTAAATTCCACGCGGACGAAGTCGCGGGAACACCTTGTTTTTAATAAAAACATCTTTTTTGTGGTACTTGAGAATGTTGAAGCCTGTTGTTTGTAATATTGAAATAACCATTTTTTACTACTTGCATATGAATATAAATACGGTACATACACCAAAATAACATATTTTACAATTTTTGTCTGTCTATTTGTTCCGGCTAATCTCTGAAATGGCTGCACCGATTTTGACGGGACTTTTTTTTGGCAGGTAGCTGATGCTACTTTTATTTTAGAAAAATAAAGTTAAAAACCACGTGGACGAAGTCGCGGGAACAGCTAGTGTATAATATATTAGAGATACCTACGTGTTTTTTTATTGATGACTAGTGTACAAGAGATTTCGTCCGTGTTGAAGTAAAGAGAAAAATAAAATGGAATTCCACGCGGACGAAGTCGCGTGTACAGCTAGTTGTCGGTAGTCTAGCGATTTAGCTAGCACACTGCTTTGATTCCTGCTTGGTGGTCGAGGGTTCGATTCCTCGCACGCTGCAAACATTTGTATTCATGAGTATGATTGTTTGTAACGGTCTGGGTGTTTTCTATGTATAGATAATATATATGTATTTACGAAAAAAAATCTTTGTATTTATATCAGTACCCATAACATAATCTTCAGCTAGCTTAACTTTGGTCTAGATGAAGCTGTGTGAATTGTCCTGAGATTACTATTATTACTATAATAAATCTTTTCAAATCAGCCGATGTTTATTTTTGCCATAATACGTGCTGTTACCATGTGATAATATTACGTACGTACTTATTAAACTATTAACTTATTATTAAATTATTAACTATTTATACTGTTTTAAATGTGATGCGTTCATTATTTATATTTCCTTTGAATTAAAGACAAATGTATATATATATATATATTTATATACACTTGCACACTTAGTTGATCCAGCCACGATCCGTAGATATTGCTGATCCACTGTCTCTCTCTTTCTATCACTATCTTTGTATTCTAATATGCGATGTTGCCGTTCCGGCCGAGACCATGTGTTGTTGCCAAATGTATTCGTCGATAGTAGTAGATACCTATACTCGATATATATTTTTTCAACAATTTCCTGCAATAGTGAATCCGAATCGGCAATTTTTTTTAAATGCACAAAGATTTTTTGGCTCTGAATATATTTAAAAATCATTTACTTGTGTGTTGATGAATTTATATACTAGTACATGAAGTACCTAATACTTGTTTTGATTTGAATATAATATTATGAATTTATTATACGTAATCTAAAGATTTTGACGAAATAAAAGTAATTAGTTATCTGTTAACCTTGACTTCATGCTGGCACCAGTATTATCAGATGATGAACATACTTTCGAAAACTTACAGCAGAAATATCGTGTTTGGACTCATTAGATAGGTCTCGATGAATAGAGTTTAAAAAACTTAAAATAAATGGTACATTAGAAATAATGTATAAAAACCCCTTACGTAAAATTCAACCACTTTAAACTTAATAATAATAATAATTAGGAAAAGAGAAAAATACATGCACTGAAAGTAATTGATGCCTTCCACACAATATTTTCAGTATTAAACAACTCTGTTTGTTCAGTAAAAGTGTAAATACACTGGTAACCTTTAATCATATTTTATATGCAAACATTACATATACAAACACTAAAGTTTTATTTCAGAATAGCCAGTAGTTTTCAAGAAA